ATTTTCCCGTTTTTTCAGTTTTTCGCATTCGATGAGAAAATCGAAAAATAACCTCCCTCAAGTACCTTCTTATGCCTCCCCACTTAAACTTCATTTCCGTAGAAATCCGAGCAAAGCTTCTAGTAGAAAAGTTGCGCAAAGACAAAAAAAAAAAAAATAAACATCTTTGTAAATTTATAAGCTTCTTCGCTCTCCTCAGAATCTAAAATTGATAAACTTATTGTTATGATTGACGATTTACAATGTTCTCAGAATAAAATTATTTCATTCGTTAATTCATGTTATGAAGGTATCAAAACCCAAGATAAAACATTCATCTCTTTCGATGTGAAACTCGACTTACTACATATCCAACTAACTGATGTAATTAACTAAAATAAATCGTTAAAAGCAAAGATCGAAAAATTAGAACTTAAATTATCTGAAGTTGAGCGTGCTCAATCTACAACACTCTTGAGTTTTACTACTCAGGAGAATGTTTACTCGAAACTTTTGGATCCACAATCTAGTACTAACAATATTATTCTGTTTAAGGTACCTGAAACCTCTGCATCTATACCTGGTCAATCAGATGATACTTCATTCACAAAGGATGTTTTTAATATCATGGGTGCCTCAGTTAACAGTGTCTGTACATGGTTTGGGTAAAGTTTCTAGCAAACCACGGCCTCTTTGTATTACCCTTCTTTGCTCTAATGACGTTTTTGAAATTTTAAAAGTAAAAGAAAACTTACTTCTATAGACAAATTCAGGACTATCCGTATTTTATCGGACTTAACTCTACTACAACATAAATATCTCTCGTCTATGAAGAGTTAAACTGTTAGTTCAAAAATATGTGCAGGTCCAGACAAGATATCGTCTATATTTTTTACTCCATGTAAATTTGTTTTCAATATTTACTTACAACACTTATTTCATAAATCTGTGGCAACACTTGTCCGTCTCCCCACAAATTTTATACGATTATACGGTTGATATATGTTCGGTTTTGAGCTTCTTATCGCAACTTTGACCGCGGTGTTTAACTCTCTATTGACTGTTATACTTTCTTCTCGTTTTTTGCGACTTTGAAACCAAACGCATGTCCGCCGTAAAACCGTCATCACTGTTAAATCTTTTTATATATATTTATATTTCAATATTTTTTCGTATAAACGTTGACGCGACAGTAGGTATATGTTTCTGTTATATGTATTTTTAATCTTCGTAACACCGTTTCTCACTTTATTTTTTATTCTCGATCTCACATATTATTTTTGTATTTACAATAAAAAATCTTCTAGTTCTGTTTATATCTAAACTCATCTAGTCATATCGTATATGATACTCGTAAAAGTATATAATGTTGATATTTTTCTGTATGTAAGTAAATATTATAATGTTCTAAATGTATTTCAATTATTACTTTCTTAAATTATAACAACTATAATTGTATGTAATATTTGTATACTATGAATACATTTATATTTTTATTGAGCAACCGCCCATCTAAATAAAATAGAATTAAAAAAAAATATCGGCTTTAACTACACTTAAATATTCCGAAAATCAAAATTTGAATACATGCAAAATTTAACTAAAAATAATGGGGTGAGTACACTTAATGAATTACCCTGTCTATATAAGATAAAATATAATCATATATCACATTATTATCCAATTAAAAAATGGACACTGTTTGCATTCATTTCACAAAATAAATCTGTTATTTCACCACTTTACGTAATTACTCAATATGGATACCATTTCAAAAAATGGATACCGAAAATATAAACAACGGAATTTGTTTTTTTATATAGATGTTCATAAGCGAAAGAATAATAAACTCAAATTGTTTTTAACGAATTTCATTTCTCACAATTTAATACATTTTGCAATCTATTATTATTAATTTGATAAATGTGTTATTATTATTAAAATATTAAAATATGTAGTACGTTATTACCACATAGTCCCAAATAATGGATACAAATGCAAAATAGAACTACAAAAACTAGGCGTGAACATTATCATTTTATTTTTGTAACTTTCGTTTTCATAACACTCACAAAATTATTTAAATAAATAATAATAACAAACATATTCGTTTAAAGTAATATTATTGCAAAATTATAATCTTAATAATTTCATTAAAATTTATTAAAATAAAGTAGTTTATTGTGTCGTTATGTGGCCACTCAAATGACAGAAAAAGTTCTGTGGTGATAGTTTAGGTACGTATACATTTCACGAAATGAGAAACCTCGGTTCCATTTGTGAAATGGATACCTTTTTTTTTATTGTTTATTAGAAAAATTAACAATCTATGCCACATGCATAATAGGAAAATATGATGACAGATATTATAATAGAATTCGTATTAATTACAGAATAATTTGAAAAGGGAGGCCATCCAATGATGGAACCCTCAACGTGAAAAATGGATACCTATATACAAACAGTACAAACGTCGTTCAGTTCACGAAATGGATAGTACGGCGATATGGATACAACATATTGTATAACAAACACAATACAATGCAATAGTCTCTATTTTCTGTGCAATTTTGGCAAAAAACTTCTCATACATCAAATATGTAGCAAATGAAACCGAATTTAAACAAACACGGTGCATATAGCATAATACTTATGTATTTAGGTTACCTACGTAAATTGCACCGCAGTTGAATATATCGAAGTAAGTGGACATTTCAATTTGAAAAAACTAGATACACAAGTAAAGGTACACACGGAATTCGCTCGAAATTGGAATGGTGTATTTGTTTTTAAACGACTCGACGACGTGTAGTGTATCGACCATCGAGTAGTATACAACCGTATATAACATTATCTGTAGTGTTTAACTAGAATGCCCTAGAGAACGGAAAATATGGACTGAATAGATAAAGAAAGAGAAAGAGAGACAACTGACAGAAAGAAAATACGATAATACCATATGCACCAATAGGGAAGAGTACAGACAGGGTATTGCTGTATCCATTCTAAGTGAGGTTTTTTTTTTTATATATCACTCCAGAGGATAAATGCATATCTAATAACCATTTTAGTTATTGTGTTTACTCCCTCGGTAATAACACAGATACAGAGATAACAGTATACTACATCATATCATGTTTGGGCGTTAAAAATTTAGTTTCAATTTACCCCAAAATTAACGTAGTATATTATTATTAAATGCCTTCTCCATTAAAAAATTTTGATTTTTTGATTTTTTTTTTTTTTAATGCTAATATTTGACACGCAATAATATGAACGAACCTTTTAAATATTTTACAACTTAAGACATATTTTCCCCAGATTGGTAATAAATATTGCTTATTATATTACTATAATCATAAAACTATCCAAAAATAAGAACATTACAAAGACTTATATTATAGATATTATAGATATATTTAACTTGATAACTACATATTACTACAAAAAATCATTAACTTTAACATATTATATGTTCAAAATTTTGTAAACTGGGTCATAATTAGTATTTATTTTCATTAAGTCACCCATCCTTTCTACCGATTATGACTACCTTTCTACCGATTATGATAAACCGGAAAGTGTTTTATGTACAAACAAAATTTAACTCTAAACTTTTCACAAACATTCTAAAGAACTATCGATAGGTAGTAAGTACTACTATTATTACAATATCTATTACTCTGTGGTAAGTGCCTATTAAAAACTACTAACGGTGTACATTTTTTTTTATTAAATGTTTGCAATCGTCTTATTAGCATTGCATATTTTGACAAATAGATAAAAAATACTATAGGTTGCCTATTTAGCCCCTTAAGCCTCATTACAAGAAATGCATAATATATATTATAATATATTGGTATCTATATAACATATTATGTTTAAAGAGGTTAGTATAGGCAACTGGCAATGACATGGAGCTAAACTATACATATACACAAGTAAACTATAAACAGTTTACGTATTCGTTTTAATTTTTTGTTAAGACATTAACAATCATTGTTAAGACTTCGTTATGATAAGATTTCGATAACACAACCCATAAATAACAGAAAAATAAACCACCGACTTAGCTGAAAAATTGTTTCCGTCATAGACATATAAATAAGTAGACCAGGAATGGTAGACGTTTAACGTTTCTAAATTGATGAATCCCTACAGTGTAGCTAATTTTAAAATAATAATACTATTGTATTCTTATCAGTAAAATATGTATAATAACTATATTATTGAATACAACATTTAAATTTAAAATATTCTTTTATTGTTGATGAAATTAAAGTTAGAGTCTTGGAATACTTTATAATACATCTCACTTAAATCTTAAATATACTTACATATAACATTGAAGTGTATCATCTAATGGTATCAAAAAAATAAAACAAATCTGTTTAAAATAGATAGATACATCTAGTTATTTATTTAAATAATCATAATAACAACAATAATTTACAATTATAATATGTAGTTTGTTATTTTGAAAAATAAAAAATCATAATCCTATGTAGTCTTCTGCCTTCCTATAAGTAAAAATTAAAAACAACACGATTTATTATAAAAATACAATTTTACCAAACATATTTATTTTTGACTTAAATTGTTTGATTGAATGGATAATTTATAGTAAGACTATACTCTTTAGATTCGATCATTGTCTACGCTGCGATCTAGTGGTGCGTAATGTCGTAAAATGCCTATCAACAAAACGCACGGCTTCAATTTTATACTATTACCACAGTATAGATTTCATTTACTCTATGCGTTTAATATGCAACACATTAAAGCCAACATGTGTGCGAGAGACAGACAATTATCAATGGATCGGCAGTTATCAATGAAGAAAATAGTATGGTTATACCATAGACATATAAATGTCTATGGATTATATAATATAATGATATAGGGAGCTAAAATTTGCACAACAGGTATAATAAAGTTATAACACATTTAAAATTTATTGCGCACATTAAAAATACAAATACAAATACAAATAATATTGCTGATCGTGTGTTTCGACTATATTAATCACGATTGTCCGTGACCATTTTGCTTTCGGCTAATTCTTGAAGCGCTTGTCGAAAAACTTCTATGCTCACTTTGTCATCAACGCCATCACACCGATACGCATTATCCCATACCACGTCGAAAATTTTACTCGGTAAGTTTACCCCGACATCACGAAATAACTTCTCCATAACGAGTTTGCTACGGCCCTATATAGTATATAATATATAAAATATAAACGCCGAATAATCTTGCAGTATTCAGTATACAGGTATATCAAGAAAATATACCCATTGTGATGTCTGGAAAGTAACACATTTTTTCGGAATTGTTGACAATATAAGAAACAAGCATAGGTACCTAAAATATTACATTACCGATTTTTTTTTAACCATTATTTTTTAGGGGTCAAGCAACTACCTACTTCTGATTTTCAAATGGTAACCGATGTTAATAATTCCATAAATAGATTAGTATTTAGTACGATTATTTAGTTTAAATACATTTTGATTTCTGTAAAAAAAAATATAATACTTTCCGAGATATCGTAATGAGTACATCTTCGTGGAACACCCTACCCTATATCTTAAATATAATTCCATACTAGTATCGAGTATCTATATTAGTATCTATATAGGTATTTATTTTGATGTGTCTTGACCATTCCTGGCGACACGATACGTTAATAAATACAAAGCGATTATTTTAAACTAAATATAATTATTGTTATAAGACGATATTACCTCGTAGAAATCTCTGTGAGTCAGTCCGTAGAGTGTAAATATCGATGGGTTCAGTAACATTTTAACGTTTGATTCTGGCCCGAAAAAAAAATCTCGATCAGGCGCGTCCATCTTGTATGCCAAAGGGTCATAAGAATAGTACTCTGGAAAAATAACAATCGCATAGATATAAGTATAATTAAAGATTAGATTGATGTGAAAAAAAATGCAAAAACTGTTTTAGATTTTCTTATTGAGATTTCATATACACACGCGTAGTAAATTTTTATTAATGTATCGACAACCCGTTTAACTTATCTGATTAATATTGTTCGCCAAATAGTAACGTTTGAAATATATATAGCAATGAGAATTTTAAATCTTCACAGTCGAACCAAATGTATGTATATATCTATACTAGTTATGTGTAAGATAGTGGTAAAGTAAAACCTTACAATATCACGTTCAACATAATCAAACGCAATTGTACCATCGGATATCCCACTATTCACCCATTAATTGACAATAGATCACACGCTGTACGCCTCCAATGCGATATATTATATATATATCGTATATTGGATTATGTATTATTTCGTATGTCTCGTGACTTAAGTATTTAAGTTGCCTTTTAGCGCATTTTGAAAAAAACAATTTAAACTTAAAGACAACTCATAATATTGTATATTGAGTACCTTCACACCCACGGGCCACCCAGCAACCCACTGTGTGTGTTAAAAATAAACTGTGTCTCCAAAAATACGTACTTTTGTTTAATTTAACGCTTTGAGACAATTTGTTCTTGTATTCGTTTTCGTAGGTCGTAACGAATTTGTTATCGTTTTCCGTTTTCGACGCGGTATCGCGTTTTTCGCAAGACGGGGAGAACTGTACGTTCCAATCGATCAAATCGACAAATAAATCGTACTGGACGTTATTATCGTCAACGGCATGTATTAATTTCAACGCGAAATTGAACATTTTCTTCTCCAGTCCAAATTGACGTTGACAGCAGATCTCGTACATTTGTTCTAACGGCAGCCATCCCGTGCCTGCCTATAATATAAGTACCATATTGATGGCGAAAAATGAGTTTTGTATTAGATAGTCTATGATTAGTATGTGCAAACGTGCCTTATTTTGTCGTGTTACAAAACGAGTTACTCGTCATTAATGTTATATAAAAATAAATTTTAGAATATTTAGATAAAGATACGAGGTAATTGCTAGAATAATTATCTAGATGAAGATAAAAAACAAGGTACAATAACAATATAATCAACTAAATCTAAATAGCTTTTTATCAAAATAAAAAAAAATTATACGAGTATATATGTGTATAATTTTGTTTACTACTATGTCTCAGTCTTGGACTATCTCAGTCCAACTACCGAATAACATACATAAACAATGTTTACGCAGAATAAGTAAAACTAGCTTAATTTTGATTTTAGAGTAAAAGTACCGATTATGAAATTTATAGAAAACAATATTTTGGAGGGAATGTCGTGGGGTTTTTTTTTATTATTCAAAATATACAGCTCAATATAAAAGCTACAAAAACCTTTAATTTTTTTGCTTTTTAAATAACTGTAACTTTTTAAATAGTTCATAGTTCAAAAAACACCGACGACATTCCCTCAAAAATAATGTTCCCTGTAAATTTCACAATAGGTACTTTTACTCTATAATCAAAATAAAGCTAGTTTTACTTATTCTGCGCAAGCATTGTTTTCGTATGTGACCCGTTAAGTGGACTGAGACAGTAGATGCGAATATAACGTCCTCTTAATGGGTAAAAATACGACATTTACATTTTTTACACATAATATAATAATCATACGAACATGTATAAAAATAATAATAAAAACGTTACATAAGTACACGAAATAACCGTTTACCTTGTCCAATTTTTTGCAAGCTTCTCGTAACTCCCATACATTAAATTTCTTTTTTTTAGAGATGGACTTTATTTTATTAATTGTCGATAGACATTCGTTAAACTCAAACTCTTTTTCGTTCGGGTAACTTCTGGTGAGAATACTGACAGCTCCAAAATACGGTCTGCCCGTGGATTTTCCTTGATGTTCATCAATGTAGGGATATCGTATACATTCGTTGTTTTCTATTCTAAAGGTATTATGTCCGTGATTAGTTTTAAGACATAGATTAGTCTGTCCATATCGCCCCTCTCAATGACCGTGTTTATTTTAGCCAACAACCACTAATATACTTGATAATATAGGTATTGCATTATTGAAATAACTATTTTAAAATGTTTGAAATATTGTGATTTAATTAACACTTAAACACTTATCAAAACTTTAATTATTATGAATGAATTTATGTTATCAACTTATTATAATTAAATCTTGGTTACGACTTAATTAACTAATTTAATCAGTACACGTTTTGGTTATAAACTATTTCATGACGAAGAAACTGTTTCAAAAACTTTCATTACTTCACTGTTTACACCTAAACTTGTATTTATTATTTCGTACTATAAATATTTATTATATTATTATACCTTTCTAATAAGCGATTGAGATAATTTTCAAAAATAGTTTTTTTATCGTCAGCGGTCCAACTGCTTTTACTTTTGACATGCCATTTATACCATACTCCAGGCGGCAAATATTTTTCACGCTTGCCGTATCGATTATCTGGATTGAAATTTGCCGTGTACCTGAATCCGTAATTTCCGTAAAGAGTTAAAATTATTATTATTATTTTTTTTATAATTAAAATTAATAACTTTCGATTTAATGTCTCGCCGGTCTCATAAGCGCGATGAGAGATCTTATACAATTCCGCTCCGTCTTTTATGCAACGCCCGAATACTTTTTTCGGAAAAATAACATCGTCGAAACAACATTCCACTGAAAAGTATATAGGCGTAATAAATAATGAATACAATATAGTTTACTTAGGTATATATTTAATAAAGTGAATATTTTTCTAAACTTTTATATTTGTGGCCAAATGTAGTTTTTTCGTTTATATGTTTTGGAAGCGATATCTGTCGATTAGATTGCTTTTTCTGAATGTCCTGCACGTTAGAATCTTGAAAACACGATGTAATCGGTGTGTATTTTGATCTCTTTCCATACCGATATTCCGGATCAAAACTCGCCGTGTACCTATTAGTGGTGGAAAAAATACAGATTGCCGAAGTTCGATAATCCGGATTTTTGAAATCCGAAGTCAAAATGTATTTAAAATCGGAGTTTTGCATTCTTTTAGACATTTTTTATTTAATTCGAAAATAAATCATCATTATGAATTTAGTTAGTATAAATAAAATAGGACTATTATAATATAATTTATTATAAACTAACTAAATAAAATAGGACTAATATAATATAATTTATTATAAACTAACTAAATAAAATAGGACTAATATAATATAATTTGTTATAAATTAACTAAGTGAAACTATGAAATAAAGATAAAATATAAGTGAAAGGTAGCCCCTAAAATATGTTACAAATATTTTTTTTTTATAAAACTATTTTCTTCACATTTTAGTGTGGAATCAAATACAAAAATATATACCTATAATAGATATGAGATAATTTGAAGTAAAATAGGGTATGAGGTTGGAGGAACAGAACAAGACAGCTAATGGAAATGAGTGGTTATAATGAATAACCTAGGATCTTGTGTTCAAAAGAACGGTGGCTTTTATAAGGGCGTATAACATAATGGGATTCGTTGAATAAAATGGAAATAATGTGATAACTAATAAAAAAAATTCAATTAGACTTAAAATTAAGTTCCACAAATATATGGTGAGACTGACTATATTGTATAATCCGGAGTGGTAGGCGGTAGACAAGAAAAATAGAACAGAGAATGCTTATAAGTGGATAAGTGAAGTGATGAGAAAAGACAAGATAAGGGATGAGTACATACAAATTTGCTTAAGCATGGCTTCTATAGTAGACAAAATGATAGAAAATAGACTGAAATAGTTTTGACATGTTATGGGGAGACAGGAATCTGAAGCAGTAATTAGAGTTGTATTGAAAATAAACGTAGAGAGAAAGAGATAGAGAGGAAGACTGAAAAAGAGGTGGTTGGATGTGATTGTGAATGATATTAGGATAGGTCGCTGTTAATTGCGTCCAATTTAAATTTTGTGTGTAAATTGCGGCCGGATATATTTTGTATACATGCCTAAATACTTAAATATATGTAATATTATCTATATTGTAGAGTATTACCAGATACTCTTTAAATTGTACAATCGACTAGTATTTTTGAAATGTACATAAATTGTAGCCCAGATATTCCAATTTCCTATCGGATGTACAATCTAAAGTTTAGTTGTAACCTACAATGCAGATAATAATATGTTCACTAATATAATATTACTAGGAGCCTGTGTCCATTTGGTCGTAGCTTTGGGTGTATTTTATTTTATTTAATAAAAATGAATTTTAAGAAAAGCGAACTAATTAAACACATTTTTACCTGACACATATTATTACTAACTTTTAATAATATATTTTTAAAGGTACTCAAAAAAAAAGCATAAGCAATATTTTTAACCATACAATTGTAATTACATACATACAATTATACATACATACATTATATACATATTAATACAATTATATTGCTATTCCTAAATCTGTAAAATGGGAAAGAAAATATTGATTTTGCAAAAAAATCCTTAGACGAATTTAACGTATCAATAAAAAATATTTAGGCATATACTGTACAAAATACACCCAGGCTGAAATTTACGTATGTATAAAATATACATATGACATAAAGCTGCAATTTACAAAGTATATGGCTATGACCTCTTTTCTGGGACGCAATTTACTAACTCCTATTAGTATAGCCAGTGTATGCGAGGTAGGAGATCGGGTCAAATGGATGTTTAAAACGAGGTTGGCTAACCCAAAACTGTTGGAATTAAGGCGTAGGATAGAAAGAAGAAGATATATTATAAAGTATTAGACTTCAAAAAAAAAAATGTTTTTTTCGCCATTACTGACTTTCGATTCGATTGTTCACCGATTCCGAAACCGCTTTTAGAAATGTTTGTACAAAATTCTGCGGTGGTTTTATTTTCGTCTTCGACAATCCCAGTGCTGCAGTTTATCTCTGTCGATTTATCCGGAAAAATCACATCACCTATGCTGATTGTTATACTTTTGTCTCTGCACGTCGTATTTTTTTTATCGGTATAATGCTTGGGTTTTAACGGATGACGATACGGTGAAATCGAGTACTAAAAATATAGATTTTCGTTAAAAATCCTAAAAAAAGTATAGGTATCTATATAAATTCAAATATTATTAGGCTTACGCGTTTATTTCGATATTGTTCTATGCACTCTTTTTGCACTTGCAAATATTTCGGGTTTTGAGTAATGTAATCATCCATCATGTTTTTTTATGGACGATTTCATATTTTCCGAATCTTAACATGAAAATGTAATGCTAAATACCGAGAAAAACATTGTGTTGCTAAGTAATTTTCTATTGGGATCTACACTCGAAATGCCTGCACTCTTTTGGTAGTTTATTGTACCATAATAAAAGGGTTAATTTTGCAAAATCTGGACCGTACATAGTGACATAATCTTTCCTACGACAACGCACGAATGAATATATTTAACGATAATTAATAAACATATGACATAATATTATGATGTAAACAAGTACCTATATGAGCAGATACGATAAACGACATCAGCGCTACCTATATTTAAATTTAGATCCCCATAAATGATATGATAGGTGCATAAGCTTATAGTATAGAAAATGATAATAATTCGAAATGATTGCGAGACGATAATAAAGAATATTAATAATACCTATTCGAATACTACCAATTTATTTACTTAGATCAAAATATTATAGATTAATTTTGTCAACAATTGTTTGAATAAACGTGGAGATAATATTCATATTTTGACTATTGATATATTTACTGCAATGTCATAAAACTGTGTACTCAACTACGACCTAAGTATATAAAGTTAACCTACTTATCGTATTTTGTTTATTTACTATCTAATTTTTCGCAGTTTGTACCTTATATTCAATGTCCATACCATTCTGAAGTACATTATTACTTGAATGAAAGACCATAATATTTTTAACGAAAAACCATTGCAATCAAAAATCGGTTCTGACCTAAACTCGATAACCTCACAACGTTATACCATTAGTCGTGGTTTTCCCCTGTAGCATAACTAACAAAAAACGAATCGATGTAAGTACTTTCTCATTATTGTTATCAATTTATAGTAATTGAATTTAAAAAACTGTTAGAAATCTAAAAAAAATGTTTTGAATAAAGTACCACCGAGTGAAAAATACTCAACACTGCAATATAAACAATTCTGAGTTTCTTTGTGATCCTAATAAGTTCCGATTAAATAAAACATACTAACTTATAATAGTTTCATCGCTATACACTCAAAATCGCAACACAATCTATTTGAAGTGTATAAAATGCATATAGATTTGGTAATTTGAAATACAAAATACAAAATGGTTCAGTTAAAATATAATAAAATACAAAATATATCCGGCGATCATATGAACCTAATTTCAAAATATTTTTATTTTGCACGAGGATTTTTGGATGTAAAGTCATTAGTGTGAGAAAATCGTTATCTTAAAACGATTGTGATTTAGTTTATAAAGAAAACCGGTGATAACTACAAAGCACGAATTTATATTTATACAAAAAACGACTTATATCATTATGTTAAACCATGGCTATTTTTAATTATTGTAAAAAAAACACACATTAATCTTGTACCATTACCGTTTCATTTGAGTAAATTAAAAACGAATATGTGATATTCTATATATACGAGCACATTGATAATGTTGTTTTTAATTCGGATAAAAAACAACTATAAATACACGTTAAATAGCACTTTTTTTTCAGTCTCGCGTGAATATAATGACGTACCTATTCGAATAGATTCCGTAATTATACAATATATCTGCGTAGGTATCTATTATGTCTGAGCCTGAAAATATACTGAAACAGTGTTTCAAAATTTGATAAAATGAGATTATTATCGATATTATGAATACAACAGTTAGAAAAAATTGTTGTATTTTAAAATTCTGAACGGATGTGAGGAAGTTGTTAGTTTTAATATAGGGTAACCATAAAAATAAAGGAATTAAACATGAATACATGATGTATGTACAATGTATAATAAGTAAACCTAACTATAATTATTATAATTTACAAAAACGAAATGAATGACAGTTATTAAGGTTTTTGAATACCTTCAAATTAGATATTTATACACAAAGACAATTTTATTTTCATGATAGCGGTTGAGTACTTTTGTGCTAAACTAATTACGTCGAATATAATTTATTATATTTTAATAAAAAATGGTAAAACTTATTAGTTATTACAAGAAACGTTTTTAAAATACCATCATTACTTATTATATACCGTGTGTAATACAATATACCCGCTAAAATAGTCAAAACAATAACTCACAAATGACAAATTGTAAAGCATTTATTGAAAAATGTCATAAATACGTCAAAAAAATGTTTAGTTATACATTAACAGTAAGGGGAAAACGGGTTTAATACGGGACAGACTTGAAAAACGGGATGAAATGCGTCCTGCATAACTTTTATCGGGACAACGGGACAAAGAATTGAAGTACGGGACGTATGGTCACCCTATTTTAATATGTGTGCTTACTTTTTTTTCTGCCTATGAATAACTATTCTATCAAAAATCTTGCACCAATTTTTTATATCTTTTGATATCAGACATTTTTTTATTCTCTTTTAGATATAGTTTGTCCATAATAAGGGGGGGGGGAGTAGAAAAACCGGAAAAGTTTATGCCAACAACGATTTTGATTTTTTTTTTCTTCTTGTGATTTAGTTCAAAATAATCGTAGAGAGCATAAATGTTCACATAATACGAAAAATTTCCTTTTATAAAGGTAGTACAATTTTCAACATATTTGTTTAGCTTATTATAAGAATTTCATATTTTTAAATTCCTGTTTAATTTTTACGTCATTTCAAAACATGTTTATCCAAAATTTGCTCAGAATCATAATTGATCATTTATCGTTATCGACAAAACGTATTTCAGCATTCAGCTAATAACACACGACAGTACCTATTTGTATTGTATAGAAAATATTTCGTTTCAAATAGGTACATAATTAATACAAAATGTATTAATTAAACATAACCGATATTTAAATTAAGCATCGAGATTAAATCATATTAATAGTATTTTTGATCATTCTATAAAACTACTAAATATTGAAATAAACACTGAATAAATATATTTACACTACAGGTTGACATATAATTAATATAATAGAAACGAATTGTCTTCCGTTCCATTCCAAAGTACAAATTACAGTATTGTTATTTATTTTATTACATGGGACGGTGCACGTATTGATGTAAAGATAAATTAAATAAATAAAAGAAAATGAACATAATTGAAACCATAACAAAATTGTAATGACGAAAATAAGTAGTAGGGGTATAATATAGAAATAATAATTGAAAGACGTTTTTTTTATTTTATTCTTTTATTTTTTTTTTTAGCTAAGCAATTTAATCGAAATACAAAATATGAGTTTTAGTGATATGGCAAGTTGAACTATGAACAAAAAATTAATGTATTAAATATAAATGTATTTTATATACAAATCATTATTTTAAAACACCTATCCACGGAATATAGGAGTAAAATTCGAAAGTTGATATGAGATCCGATGAAAACAGTTTTAGTGGGATAGTAAGCTATAAACAACAATACTTTGTTCACACATTTTTATTTTTTAGACGTTTAGCCACGTAGTCGGAGAAAGATATTTTGTGGATACTATGGAGTCCAAATTCGACCAAATAATATATTATGCAACTGAACTTGCAGAAAAAGATATGATAATTTTTAAGCAAAAAGTTTACTTTATATACAATTTCTTTCTATACAAATTATTACTTTTAGACGTTTTTTAAACCATTTCTTCAATTTGATAAAATCCTCAGAAAAACCTATATATTTTCACAATTACGGTTTCAGTTGTTTTTTTTTTTTGTAATTAATTTGAAAATAACAATAAAGAACGTGATTGTTTTTTTCTCATTATTTATAGCTATTTGACATTTTGAAGTTATTATAATTTTTATTTGATTTTATGTGAATACTATTTTTTTGGATTCGCTAAAATACTCGATCATTTTATGGAAGAAGTATATTATAAGATGTTCTTATTATTTATGGTTTAAATTTTTACGAAAATCGTATAAGTAACGACATTTCGCGAACTATATTTTTCGATTTATGTGAATATCTAAACATTTTGGGTTCCATAAAAATGTTCGAAAATTTTAGACGAAAAAATACGAAAAGTCGTATTTTGTATTGTTCATGTTCACAAAACATCGTGATGACTTAGAAATCTGTGAAGAATTATTTATATTAATAACTGTAAACAAAATAATCGGCTACGGACGGGTACTTTGGTAGTTTATATTTAACGAAATCAGTGATTTAATAAATATTATATTATGTTACGGGCTATTCGTTGTTCTATAGAAATCCATATAATTCGTTCTTAATGAATTTTTTTTAGAAAAAATATAAAACAGATAATCAATTTTTAATTTCGGTTTGGAATGTCTATACTATTTCATATGGTTTGCGTTTAAATCAATATTTCACGGTCTATATAATATGATAATATTACAAATATATACAGAGTGATTGTTTTATACGGCCAACACAGAGGGTTTTAATAAATCCAATTGAGGTTTTTCGAATAATTTGCTATCGAAACCTGATTCGAAAAGACAATAGTTTTTCAAAGATCTAATTTGATATACATACATACCTCTGTATATGGTCAAGTTGGGTAAATAAAACCGAAATCAAATTGATTCAGAATTTCCGCACATGATAAAATAATCACTCTGTGTATATCGATAATAAATTTTGTTTAGTATCTTTTATTTATTATTAATACGAAATATGTGTTAAATATAATATAAACGTACCGTAAAATAAATGCACAATGTAAATAATTACAGCATTATACACTTGATGCATGTGGGTAAGATCAGACATTTTTATTATAATGTGATAAAGACGACTCGAACGATAATAGTTTACGCTAACGTTATTTGGCAACTAAATACGCGATTTACATATTATGTACTTACATTTATGCAGTCGAATTATGTATATAAAACCTAACCTCCGGGTCCAGATGGCCCAGCAACGTTTGGAACTTTTTTTCGTGTTAATAATAATGGAATTTTACAATAATACATTAGTACTACAGCACTTAAAAATCTATTATATTCAAAGCCCACTTTAGTAAAACGAAATACCATGTTTGTAGGGAATAGGCGATTTATTTTAAACGTAGGCATTTTTGTTTTTGTTTGTTTTTTTTTTTTTCTATCACATTTCAAATGCAAAATACATTTTCAAATTTATAATAATTAATAATTACCTTTAAGGACATACATTTCCTTTTAAACTTCATAATTACAATAATCTATAATACATATATGAGAATATGAAAAACACGAGATAAACGGCGGAGAAAAGCGGATACGGATTATGCGACTGTTTTAGGTGAAAAACTGTGAAGATAGTAACGTGATAAACCGTTAGTAACGATAAGCGATTCTGAGCGAAATTCGTTTATAACTATACATGATTTAAGAGTCCATAATATTTCATCAAAATTTGGTTTTAAAACTATTAAAAAAATATACATACAAATACTATACTCTCTACTTTTTTTTTAACATTCTGTTTGTTTAAACAATAATAGCCATATATAGTACCTACCAAATAAAAACTACGAAAAAAACTCGCAAATATAAAATACATATAAATATTTAAAAAATGACAAAATATTTTGGAATTTTATTATGTTTATAAAAGGAATTGCATTAAAACACAAAATAAAATTTATTTTATTTATTATTGAAACAATTATTTCCGTAATCTTACCCGTTCTGATTACGTTTTTTTTCCAGTTTTTTTTTTCAAATATTAAAAAAATTAAAAAGAAAATCAAAAACAATTAGATTACTCATTATCTAGATTAAAACTTTCAACAAAAAAATTATCTTGTTGTTTTTCAATCGGAGAAATATTTCTGGTAAAAAACATAAAGTGTAAACATTTAAAATAATGAAAACGTAACGCCGTAAATTTACCAGTTTTCATTTTTCATCTTTTTTTCGGATTTTGCCAATTATTATGAAAACTACTAGGAAAATAAAAAAAAATGAATTTCTTCTTTAGTAATTAGATCCAAAATTCAACAAATTTAATAACTTGATGTAAATATCCTACCTTCTCAACTTCCTACCTACAACAGTGACAACATCCATTCCTTGTATCAGCTAATTTTGTTTGTATTTTATCTATATTACATAGGTAACTAACGATTCATATTTATACCAAAAACATTTTACAATCCATTCTTTATAGTTTGAATTTTGAAAATTCGGCTTCGAGATGCACACCAGACCGTTTGCTCGTTTCTGTATATAAATGACCAAATATCTAAGTGTGATAAATTCGGCAGTTCAGATAGTGCACAGACAGACACTTCCTTTTATTAATATATTTATCTTAAAAAAAAAACTGACAATGTTAAATAATAAGTTACAACTGAAGTAGAGTAGTGTGAAGTATAAAAATCAGAATATATAGTCATTTGGTTTAAAATGTTAAATCACGAATACAACGTTAAAATCTGTATTAATTTATAAAATAGTTATTCAAATTTTTGTAAAAATGTTTAATATAAAATAATATTTGAATTTATTCCCCGGCCCCGTCTTCAACTTTGTTTTTTTTTCTATGATAAGGTAAGAATCATTTACATGATGAACCTTGTATAGCTATGTATCCAATTTTCAAATATTTATACGGAAAAAGTTGTATCCCACATTAATAACCCAATAAAAATGACCTAAAACTCTAAATATATTTGAAATTCAACCACAGTAAATTTGAATATTATAGTGTTTGCTAAATATTTCAGGTCACTTTACAATTATAAAATGTCTCGCTAAATTGCAATAAAAAACACCAGCGTTGCGTAAATATTCCCGTTGTCTAGCTTTTTTTTTTATATATCTGCTTTCTACACGTTGTTAAGAAAAATACAATAAAGGAATTTAAAGAACTAACCTATGTAATACGTCGACTATAGATCCAGAATTTTATAAGAAAAAGCCTCAATGAAGTTTTTGATTTAAGCAAGTCTTTCGCTTGAAGATTTGATTACCGACCAGAATATAAAACCCACATTATAAAATAAAATCAATATTTTGCTCGTTCTGCTCAATCTATACATTATAATATAGCTGTCGTTACAATAGATTAATGGGGCAAAACTATATAAAACTATGAATAACTGTGCCACGATACAAATACTAATTCTAACAAATCACAGTATTATAATAATGTATAATATCATAATAATTCATAATGTGAGATTCATTATTTTAAGTCACACGGAGATCATAATATATAATACAATTCAGTACTACTGCACGTTTAAATAAATCGTAAGTATATGAGCAGCGTCATATTAAGACTTTTAGCACCCTTAGGCCTTGTATAAAATAGCGCCCTTATTAAATTTATCATTTTTGTTGCAAACATGGGAGTTTTTTGGTGTTCAACGATATATATGTCACATTATGATTAAGTAATTAAATATGCATTATATATTTTCTTTAATAATATTTGTTTAATATTGTACCTGTTTTCCCGTTCTATAGGTTTCCCTACGTTTTTTTCCGGTTTTCCCCATTTATTATGAAAACAGTCGGGAAAATCAAAAAATGATATCATTAAAGTACCACTCCAATCAGATTTTTTTTTTTCAAAAAATGTCCTATCATTGTAAATCGGAGCAAAATTACTGATAGAAAAAATAAATAAATAAATATCATTGTAAAACCAGTACATTCCGCACAGAATCTAAAATCTCTTGTATTCTTTTTTTTGACTATGCATATTACATTGAAAACAGTTTTATAAAAACAAACAAAGTATAATAAAAATAGTGTTTAGTAACTAGGAATTAAAATAATTACTTAGTAATTATACTTACATAAAGTACTAATTTCAATTTTTTTTTTTTTTCTAGATTTCTTGGTAGCCCGTAAATAAATGGCCCGTATATATTTATAATATAAATATGAGTATAGGTATATGCATCGGTTGATTACAGAATATTATTATATCAAAATTTTATTTTTATTTAGTTTTTGTTTGAATTTTATGTTTTGACAACATAAAATAACTATGTTGTTTTATTCGTTGGTCTGGAAGCAACAGTGAATCTCGTTTTCCTGAAATCCCTCTTAACTCGTCCTCAACGTTTTGGACATCGGGTAGGTGTTGCTCATATCCTGTGTCCACATAAAACGCTATCGTCATGTTTTTCCTCATCACAGGGGTTTGATGAAATGGGCATGTCTCCCGGCGTTTCAGGTCTCTGAAATCCCTTGCACGACTTGTCTAAGGTGTTCAACAACTCAGCTGTAAATCGATTTTTAAGCCGAATAAGAATCCGTATTAATATTTATACAGGTAATATACTGATATAATATATATATTATATTTAGGTAGGTACTATTGAAAGTATTTTGTCCGAATCGACATTTTATTTCCGGTGTGAGTGGCAGTTTATTAGGATTCAAATGGGTCTTAAACCAATGGCTTATCACTTCTAACTCTGTTACTTCCGGTAAACTTGCAATCGGGTCTCCTAATATAGCCAGAAATTTCAAAAATAACTAATAAACATAATAATATTGTATTAAAAAACCACGCGTCTAATAAATATTCGGGTGTAGTTTACTATTAACTGATTTTGGCTAGGCAATTTCCGTACTGTCGCAAGGATTTCATCGTAGATGTGCGGTTTTATCTGCAGGAAAAAAATGATCAATAGGTATAAATGTCGGTTTTAATAGCAATTCAAAGCTGAAAAAGTTTATTTAAAAAACTAACTCATGCAGTATGTACATGTATCTATATGCAATACTATATAGTATACAGTATGTATGTTATACAATTATCACTATATAGGGCTTAGATTTATGTACCATAAAACATTATCAAAATATGAATTTAGTTTATTTAAAATATGCTAAAACATACTAAAAAAATATTATTAAATAAACATTTAGTATACAAAAATATTTTGCAAAGTTTTATTTTCCAAACAATATATCACGCTAAATAATTAAATATGTTATAATATGCCAAACAACTATGATATAACAGACACTTGAAATACGAAAATAACTATATAATAGTATTTTAAATAATCGATTTCCTGTTAAATCTTAATATATTTTAGATTCTGAGTGGAACGAGGTATTCGTTAGATACTCTGTGGACAAAAGTCCAAACAGAAATGATTGTAAATTTAACAGGAGATTTATTTTAAATCATAATTTGTGATAAAAAATAATAATAATAAAAAGGGAGTATAATGTAGAATTTTTATTTTAGTATCAAATTTTGATGAAAACCGTCATCTATAACCAAACTCCGATCAGAATCGTTTTTTATTTGTATATTTTAATCATTGTGTACAGATATACATTAAATTCTTCTCAATGTCCTACCTTCCCAACTTCTCACTTCCAACAGTGGTCCACCCACCGTGCGAAGTGTATCCGTTTTTTTTTTATACATACTTAAAAAATCTACGTAAAGCATTGCATGATGTAATTTTCGCTTTTCGTCAACAAAACATACCAATACATATAAACCCTGGGCCTAGTTATCACTTACATACTAATATATTATACTCAATGAAAACAATTTTTTTTTTTTAAAACTGAGTAATAATATCAATGTTCATAATAAAATTAGATAAGTACCTGTATTTCATCCGTTTCTTCATGTTTTATATCCAACTCCTCGGCTTTCGATAATCGTTCAGGTATATTATCATCAACCGATAACGTATCACAAATATTCGATTTTCCATTCTCATTAACCTGACTGAACATTCATTAATTTAATATTCTATATTATAGTATCGTATATCATGTTAAAATACCTGATGGCAGATGTCCGCTTTTTTTTTTTTACACAGAGCGTATGCAATCGATAATTTGGGAAAGCGTTTATTTCACGATTGAACATTCTAATAATTTTGCCCTCGGTCTTTGACTGGTTATCCATAATCTTAGCCATAGAAGATTTTTCAATCATTTGCGATGATTTTTCATTAATATTTAATTTGTCCATAGACTGATCATTGTGAACATCTATATCAAGACGACTTTCAAATAAATCCTCAAATTCTCTACTATTTAAATTTGTAATGAAATTTTCACAGTCTTCGATTTTTACTTGATCGTAGTCAATTAAAAATGAAAAATCTTCATCTTCTATCGCTTCTTCTACGTCCGATTCTTCTTCCACCGCATCGTATTCGTATTTAAAAGAAACCGAACTTTTAAAACTGTTGCGTTGTGGATCATTTAAATAGTGCAAATCACTCAAGTCGATACTACTGAAATCAGTTAAATACGATGTGAAACTCAGAAACCTTGTAAAATCGTCAAAACGATTAGACGCTCTCTGCTTTTCTCTTTTGTTAAAACTAGTTTCGGATACATTTGTGTTATCTTCGGCTTTAACAGCAGTTTTACTATTTGTTACGTCGCCGTCATCATCAGATTTTCCGTTCGTAACAATAATCTTAGGAATACTACTGGACTGGATTAAGTCCAACTTAACTAACATAATAAAAAATAATAATAATAATAAAAATAAAAAGTACTATTGTCAATAACATAATTAATTTAGACACGTTTAATTTGAAAGCCTACACGAACGTACCACTCTTTTCTGGTTTATTATAATTGTTGATTTTATCCATTCCTTTACTTTTAACAGATTCATTCAATTTTTTGTCTCCCGTAGATGTATCATCCAATGGAATTTTAACAAATAACGCATCTAAAGGATGCGTCGGGCGGTAAAGTTCTACATTACGGATAATATTTTTCTAAAAATTAATTAAGATTATAATAATTCACATTTTTAATTGATAATGATTTGATCAAATTCAACTTGTTTTTGTTTTTGTTCTTTTAGTTTATTTATTTTTCTTTGAACTTTTTCGTTGGATTTGTATGAATTTATTTGTTTATTACCGTCGCAAATCTTTTCGCACGAATGAAATAGTTCCGAATTCTTTTCGGGTGATTTTATTCTTTTGTCAAAGTATTTCACTAAAAACACAATTTAAACTAAATTAAATAAATTATGTGTTATTTGATACCTAATAATACCTAAGCCTATTATATATTAAGTTATATTTTTACGTTTATTTTCTGTGATAGGGGCATTCAGACAGAAGTCGAGCTTCAGAATGAGACTAGGTAGTCCTAAGTACACGATTCCCGATACAACAAGCCGTTCGTCAAAAGTGTAGTTCAATAGTTCTGCTGGAACTGTGTTACAAAATTTGTATTTATCAGAATATTGTTTAAAAATGATTACGTATTATAAAATGTATAAATATGCTTTTTTAGTTTGTTTATACACCTTTTTTTTTTGAAACTTTATTGGCTGTGTCACTTAGATATTCTTTAATATTTTGTAAAAAATCAATTGGATACATTTTACTATATGAAATTGAGGTTTTCACTACTGTATGAGGTATTTTGGTTCTAATTCCAAAGTCTTTAAGTGCATTTCTCGTTCTCAAAGTATAACTGTTGACGAAATCGTATTTTATAAGATTTCCCAGATTGTGTAAAATACTTATCTATAAATTTAAATTAAATGTCGTTAAAAGAAAATGTAAAACAAACGCGTGTTGGCGAACATTACAATACATTTTTACTTTTCTTTTTTACGTCGTATAATATATATTTTTTAAAAACATATCAGTTAAAATCAATTCAAATTATTCGTAACATTTATGAAAATAAAATTATAAATATCTACTTGTAAATTATATGAAAAATGTGAGCAATATTTTATTTACGTCAGTTATAGAAAAAAAAAAAAATCAATAGGCATTAAATTATACACAGAATTACGAAAGTGAAAAAGTTTGTTAACAATCAAGTGAAATATTTCTAAGGTATTTTTTTCCTTTACGAAATAATAATTAAATTAACGATATTAGTTTGGAAAAACAATAAATTCGCATCGTCTTGTTGTTTTTTGTAAATAATAATTTTAGAGATAAAAACATACGCGAATAAAATCTGAAAATATTATCGTCAAAAATAATAAATTATTTGAACTGGTGATATTAATTTAGAAGTCGAAAATCGAACAGTAGAACAAATGTATCCAAAAATATATAAATTTATATAATATAGGCATGCAAATAAATTAAATAACTATATACTTTTTTTTAAATTCAATACATTATCTTTACTGGAGAATCTCGCCACCAAAATATTTTGATAATTATTAGAGACGAATTAATGTATTAATTCATTTTACGAAATAGACTCTAAGAGGAAACGTCTTAAACGCGTTTATAATACTGAATTAAATATACATTTTACTATAAGCGATTTGTTAAAATCAAACTCAAACACGTATAGGTTAGTACGCATACAAACATGAAGTAAATCCAATTCATATGTTAATTATTAAAATGATTATTTTTAAGTAAAACAATTTAAGATATTATAATATATATGGGTACCTATGGGTGGGAACCAAAGTACTCTTACGGTATCTCTACAAGTTGCAAGACGTTGCAAATAGGGTTGCATCAGATCGACAACCTATGTATAATTCTGTCAAACAATACGAGGAGTTCTAAACAAGACTAGGGCGGATTGTCCCATCCCGGATGTGCGCGGAGACAACAGGTGAGAGGTATTAAGGTGTTTAGAGGAGGAGGCATGACTGACACGAAATAGTTGAGATGGAGGCGAAGGAGAAGTAAGATACATGTATAGTAATATTATATAGATAATACAATTCCATGTTAAAACTTAAAACAACCGTGAAATTCCTACAAAACAAAAAAGAGCCGGTCGAACTTTGACACCACGGGTAAACTATTGCAATAGATGGGAAGTTTTAAAGGTGTAGAAGGTACAAGGTAATAGTTTAATTTATATACTAAAAGTATTACGATAAATCATTGGAATCGAAAAATAGTTCTGTACTGAGTACCTACTGAATTTGTCATGATTTTTCTTCTAATAAATATATTAGCCATTTTATAATTTCAATAGATAATTTTAATTTTACAATACGTAGTTGGGCTAAAATTTAAAAATAGTGTTAAAATAAAACATAAACCGACTCTACCTATAATGATTATAAAAAAAAAAAACCAGAAATCGAATTTCCTTCTCTCGCTACAAGTTTGATTAATGGGGAGGGTTTTTTAGAAGCTCATAATATATACAATTTTAATTTTAAATTGTATTTTATCATTATTTTAGTTGAATAAATTATTATTATTATTATTAATTCCCTTAATATCTTCCGAGAAAATCCAGTGGATTATGATAAAATAATCACCCTGTATATACTTGCAGTGTAATAACGACACGGGTCTATACTTATAGATTTATTTGAAAGTGAATTTAAATATTATTATTATATTATTTTTAGTTGATATAATAATAATATTTAAATTTAATTTAAATTATTATTTTTAGTTGATAAAAAATTAATTTTTTCAAACGAAATTTCGTTATAAAATCAACTTGTATACTATAATATTAAAATATGTACACCACAATACACGCAACCGGTCTTCAATATTGAAACGTACGACATCCTCTTAAACAATAATATCATTTTAACTTAGACGATGATGCGGGACGTGTGACGTCATTACTTAGACCAGTGTTTCCCAATCTTTTTTTACTCAACGCCCCTTTTAGATTTTAAAAAATCCCATACCGCCCCCTTCAATCAATTTTTTCAAAAGATTAACATTTTATTTTTCAATAAACTTTTTAATTAAAGAAAAAATATAATTTAACATTTTAACGCTACAATTTAGTTAATTTTATATTTAAATGCCTACTAATAATATGAATTATATAATTTGATTTCGAAATTGCTAATATAAAATAAGAACACAAAAAATACTTATGTAACTAATTACTCCCCTGAGGTAGATGGTTTCCTGCTAGCGAAATTATATATGGCTCAATAGATGTCAGCATTAGTCTTAAATCTCCTCTTTCACATATTTCTAATTCGTTTCTTGATTTGGTCAAAAATTGTTGAACCGCACTAAAGCCTTTTTCGACCAGATATGTCGACGGAAAAGCTATAATAAATAATTCCACTTCTTTCCAAAGTTGAGTCAAGGTGTGTACAGTATATTTCTAAGTCAGAATCTAAAATTAGTTTTGAGCTTGATAAGCTAGAAAAATTATTAAATTCACGTCAACTAATTTTTTCTTTAAAAAGACTTAATTTTTAAATAAATGCACTAATAATTGACTTAGATTTGATAAAATTAATTTTATCGCCTTGCAAATTTGTATTGACTTCATTAAGTTTTTCAAAAATATCTGCTAGGTATACGATATTTGTCTATTTTATGTAATTCATCGTAAAGTTGTTTATTAAGTGGCTGCAGCAATTTTAGTATAGTTTTAAATAAACTATAAAAGCGTGTCAAACAATTTCCTTTTGATAGCCACCTAACTTTGGTGTGTAGAACAAAGCGTTCAAAGTCTTCATCATTTTCGTAGCATAATTGTCGAAACAAACGGTCATTCAATGATTTAGCTTTGATTTTATTAACAACATTTATGACAAATCGCATGGTATTCAACTAATTATTACTTAAATTTTTAGATACTAAATATTGACGGTTAATAACACAATGAACTGTTAAAATCCCAGGGACTGCATTTTTTAAATGTGCAATAAAACCACGTTGACGTCCAATCATTGCAGGCGCTCCGTCAGTCGCACAAGCTATACAATTTGTCATGGGAAAACTCTTTTCTATGAAAAAGTTATGTACTACTTTAAACATGGTTAATCCTTTAGTATCCGTGTTTAATGATTTTGCAAATAGTAGTTCTTCCGCAATTTTTTCGTTGATGTTTACATATCGCACGGAAGTAACAGTGGATTCATCAAGTTGTATTAAAAAGTTTGATATATTTAAAATATCACTCAATTTTATTTCAACATCATACGCCATTTCATCGATTCGCCTGGACATAGTATTATTACTGAGAGGAATAAATGTGGTTATGCCAGTTACATTTAAATTTGTCATTGATTTTAATATTGCTTCTGCAGCAGGTAAAATAAGTATTTCGCCGATAGTGTGTGGTTTTCCACACTTCGCAACTACAAGAGACACTTTGTAAGATGCAAGGAGACCTTTATCGTTATTTAGATGTGTTTTATTAAAAAGCCCACTCGCGGTTTTTCGTTTTTAAAATTTATTCTTTAGGTCACTAAAGTATAAAATATTTTTGTTACTTTTATTTGAATGTTTTTTCATAAAATGCTCTTTCATTTTTGAAAGTTTTATAGCTTCATTACTTAATGTTTTTTCACAAATGAGTCACAGGGGTAATTTTTCATTTTTCGGAGATACCATAAAACCAAATTTTAAATATTTAGTGGAATATTTTCTACATTTTTTGTTCTCGGACATTTTATAATATTTACGAATATAACTTTTACGTACACGCACAATAATAACGTCAAATACCTACCTAGTAACTACTACCTAGACTACACTGTAGTCGTATTTGGTAGTCACTACACATAAAATTATCAAAATCGGTTATTCGCCGCTAATCGGAATCCATACGATAAGTCCATTAAGTTATTATTGTCACCTACCTAGTACCTAGAATCTATAGTCCAATAAGATAATTATTTAGAATTTATTTAAGTGTCTATAAATAATATGCCTACATAATTCTGTATATTGCATTTGGTATTTTAAATTAGTTTTTATTCTACGCAGTTATACATTTCATTGCAATTAGTTGATAACAATAAAAATGTAAACGATAGATGAGCGTCCTTCTTAGCACCCCCTCAGAAAAACGCTCCCTTCAAAATAAAAATTGCGCACAAGGGGGCGGTAGCGCCCACGTTGGGAATCACTGGCTTAGACCATAGTACAGTAATATAATATACGATCGGTATACGTTAACTATTAAAGGGGAACAAGCGCGTTAGTGCTGCCCAGTCGACAGTCCGAGTTTACCGTTGTTAACGAATTCAATGACTAATGAGTACATAATATTATTGTTGTTTCGAAAAAATTATGGTAAACACGTTTTCGATTTTTTTTTTTTTTCAATTAACTTTGTTTCTTTAATCGTTAATAAATAATAATGTGTTCGTTAGTATCGTAATATTGGACGAGTACACGGCAAACTATATTCAAAAAAGTGATCGAAACCGGATTTCTTCGATTTAAAACTTCATGGATTAATTGCCAGTATTATAACAGTAAGTATACATTTGTGATATGCATTACGTTTAATTACGTGTAAAAAAGACAAACATACGTCACTGCACTAAGGGTAGGCCATCGCAATCGTATAGATGGAAAGTAATGCTTAGGATCTTAGGGATACTCGACACGTATAAATGGGATATTTTAGGGGTTCAACCCCAACATTTTGAAAATGCTTCTTTAAACGCAGCTACGGTTGTATAGACAACACTGTACATGTCATTTTTTTCCCCGGCTGACGGAAAGAGCAAAAAAAAAACCAATGAAAAATAAAAAAACGCTTAGTCCAAGTGCGTAGTGAGCAAATAATTGAAATTTTTAAAATTTGGCTTCGAGGTGTAGTTTCAATAAAACCAATATTTATTATCTATATACAATTTCTCAATACATCCAGAATAACTAAAATAATATATTATACAACAGAATTAAAAAACTGTAGAAACCACCAATAAAACATACACAAATAATTAAATTTAAAATTTTTGATTCCGAGCAAAACAAGGAATGTATCGGTATCCTTTTAATTTTTCTAATAGGAAAAATCGGCAAGCTTTTGTATAATTTCTGGGAATACCACTTTGTCAAACAAGGAAAAAAATACGACTATTAATACAGTACTCACAATCGTTTTTCATTAACAATGTTAGCCTCGTTCATCGTTGCGTATACAATTATAGTTTGAATTACTTTATATAATATCCTCTCTAATTCCTTCCAACTTCACTCCCAAAATAGCGACACGCCCATAAGTAGTAATAAACATTTAATGATATTATGTTACATGTTAATTATTGATCAAGTTTTATTTTTGCAAACCTGATCAACGGACAGTTGTTGATGCCAATTAATAGGATCGGGCGCGTTTCTTTTGGTACGTTTAATGTCGCATCTATTTAATACATAATCATTATAATATAATTTCTGAATTTAAATGTACATACAATTTTTAACGTTATTAAAATAATATATTATTTTCACTCGGCAATTTTTCCTTCATCAAATCGCCGAAACGCTGCTCGTTCGTCAATAGTCGCAGTTATTTGTTGTGGTTCTTGTGTCTCCGTTTGTTCGGTTGCAATATTCTCTTCGTTAAATCGTCTACACGGAACCAACGAGGAACAGCATCTCGAATAATAATTATCGCAACTATAATATCATATAATGATAGGTATGTGAAAAAAGATACATTGAAAAATAATAGTTACAAAAATAATACGCCGTAATTTCAATATTCCTATACCTTTCGCATTCCATGATGCTGCGAGACAAAAATATAATCTTTTTTTTTTTCGAATAAATATTCGAATGTCTAACGTATAAACAATTCCGTGTCCATAACACTATAATAACTACCTATTATATATTTTATCTCGGAATATGTTCAAAACATATGGGGGGACATGAGACCGTTTTTTCTTTTATCACAACAACGCGTTTCTGTATACATTTTGTTAACGCCCTGTATATATTGTATTATATATACAATACAATTCACTTTATTGGAAAAAAAAAACATGACTAACGTGTGAAAAAACATGAAAACCGCTACGTGAGCATTTAATATACCGGACGTTATTATTTACTGAATGGTCTTATTATTATTTTACTTCGTAAATTATAATATACATTTTAAACTCTAGCATAGCATAGCTGCAGTTGATATAAATTGACCGAGTATGGCTATTATGTCACGACGGCGTATAATAATTATGTACATGAATAGGTTAACATTAAATTTATAAATTGTCAATTTAAATTTAGCAAAAAAAAATTTAACCGATCTCCATTCTCCGTCACTCCGAAAATCGGAGTACAATCGGAATAGTAGATATTTTATATACAATTTCTGCCAAAAATATTAATATGCCTATCGTTTTCATACATTTTTGAATACCAGATATGACAAATTGAATAATTTGTTTAAAACGCATTGATTTAATGCGTATTAAACTTGCGTTTATACGCAAATTTAGCTAAACACGATTAAGTTAATATGCACTGGTGCACTCCATGTAAATATATGTGGCCGATGATTATTATCGCGTTACATTCGAGATTTAAACTAAATTACAATGGAATATAATATCGCCTACCTTTCCAACTTCCCACCTATTACGACATTGGCCTACACACGCGGTCCGTATCTGTAGTTCTGCTTTGTATAATGAGAAAATACGTTTAGATATTTTAAATATTATATAATAACATCAAAAATAAACTAACCGGTCATTTAGTTTTTGGTTATGTTAAATTATAATACTATAGTACCTACTTATAGAAAAGCAGAAACAAATTTTCGATAAAATTTAAACATTTTCGAACTTGTATATATAGACACAGTCATTTAATTCAAACAAAATCTATAGTAGTCGCTCAGATTTCTATTGAACTATATTGGTCGGTGTTAGAATAGAATATATTTTTTAAAAAATTGACTAACAATATGCATAGGTTTTTATTAACAACGCGTAATCAACTGTTCAACTGTTATCATTTGTCTGCGGTATATTATCATTTTTAATTGTGACATTAAATAATAGGTATAATATGGTATACAATCTTGTAAAATATTTGAGTGCCTATTTATATTAAATACCGTTTTAAATAAATATTTGAATAGAATATTAAACATATTTTAATTACTATTGCATCTATTTAAATACCTAAGTAAAGATACCTATAATACACATATATACCTATATATTTATATATACATTTTTTTTTTTTTTAAGGAATTTTATATTAAATTGCATTTTATCAACACAATTCATAATATATAATGGATAATATGTAAATATGTGTGATACACCATGATGATAAATCAACTTAACTACATGACACTAAAAAATAAAACTTTTATAAGCGATATTGGTTTTATATTGTAATATAAGATACTTTTAATTGGCAATATGTACTTAATTAATATAACTATTATTAAAAAGTGTTTGCGTTTGTAATCCATAAAAAGTGTGCATTTGATTACTATTAGACTTTTAGACTTTTAGTGTAATGACAAGCTACTATAATTTTACTCTGGTGTTTTTTTTTCCTCTGGGAAAACAACAGTTTTTTTGGATAAGCAAATACACCAATTTGTTCACATGGTTTACCTATATAGGTACCTCGAAAAAAATAACGGTACTTCATTTGAAATATTTATTGACATTTTCAGCAGTTCCGGGTGCTTTTTTTTTTTTTTTTTAGTTTTGTCGATTCCTGGATCAGGCGACAAGAAATAAACCGCATATCAAACCGTTCCGCTCAGAACCGTTTTTCGTTTCGCACTAGTATAAAGCTGACGATAAAGCACCCGTAAGACTTCCGCGGGCGTACGCACGTACGGTTAAGTAGGCGAATTTGTGTTTTTTTTTCCCCACCTGTATTGCACAACGCGCACCGACGCCATCGGCATTGAACGCAACGATTTTACGGTACAGGTACGCGACGACGAACGGTCCGCGTTGTCCGCCGTCAGCATCAGCTGCTGCTGCTGCTGCTGTTGCCGAACATAATAATATCACAGCGTAGGGGGATTCTAGAATGTTGTCCGATTGTATTACTAACAATTATTATCATTATTATTATTTGTTATTATTCTGCCGGGTCACGGGTTCTATTTGCCCCCCCTTCCCCATTCACCGTTCGGTAAGGTTCGTAAGGTGGGGCGCCCGCAACGTTTCCCGCGAGACCGTCGCCGCGCCGCAGCCGGCCCGACGACGACGACCGCGTCCGTTTCAGTGACGTGCGTGCGTTCCGATACCGCGACCGGTGGTGACGTGTTCCGACCCGTGCCGATCCTCCTCGCGTAAGTATTATTCACCTATATTGTCCTAAAGGGTTTTCTCTTTTCTTTTTTTTTTCTTTTACCGTACCGTTTTGCCGTACGTACACCGCGATAACAACGATGCGAACCGAAAACATCACGTCTTTGTATTATAATATTATTATGTATCGGCGACGGTTTAGTACCACGGGCGAGAAAGAAAAGGAGGAAAAGAGGGGACGCGGTTGTTAAAACGACGATGATGCTGTTTCGAAAATATGTCGATTTCGTAACAAAATATAATATTGACGATTCCTGATTTTGTTTATTGTTTATTGAATGAATTCCATTATAATATTTTCCATTGTAATTGTACACTAGGCGACTATACTAAAATAAAAAAAAAAAATAAAAATGAATTTCGGAAATCATTTTTGTAAACCGTACGAGATTCGCTGCGATAATAATTTCATTTTTAATACGGACCGATCGATTTGCACACCGCGTTCGATAAAATTATTATAAAACAAAAAAAAATTAAAAACGTTTTATACGCATAATTTAATGTGCCCGCTATTATAAAACTAAAGTCCCATAATATTAGTCTATACAAATTTTCAGTTTTAAACAAGACTACCAAACAAAAAACTTAACCAATAAAAAAAAAGCCTATTTAAAGGGGTGTTTTTTTTCCTTCGGTATTTATTAAGCGAAAGCCTACCCAACCGCGATATTTTCGATTTTCGTGTAAAAAAGATTCTAAAAAAAAAAATATCCTGTACATGCGATGACTGCACTAACCCGTCGAAAAATGTCAAGCGCGTGGGCCTACGCGAGTAGGAACTCGCAGGTCCTTTTTAGGTAAACATAAATAAGCCGACTGGGTAACGGTAAAAATATCGACTAGGCGTTACTAATGGAAAAACGAACATTGGTATTGGAAAATGTAACAGACAACAACTTTAATATAGCTAGGCAAAGAATAAATAAAAACGAACATTTGTTTCTTAAATTTCCATACCGCGACATAATCGAGATAGCAAACAAAATTACGAGTTTATTTTTCGTTTAATTTCTATAATTCGTTCACGAAAAGAATTTTATGAATTGGCCTACATAGTGTGATCCTCGATAAGACGCCGCTTAAATGATACTCCACTACACTGTCCCTACTCAGACTTAAAAGTGGTAGGTATACTCGTCAACGGGTTAACGGATATTAAAAATGTCAATACCAAAATTTATTTTAACTAAAACATCATCTATATATGGAATTTTTAATGTAGGCTGCTATTTTAAAATTAAAAGTGTACAGTAGTACAGTTTCACTCCCAAAAATAAGAGGAACCAAAAAATAACAAAAATTTTAAAGCTACTTGTTTCATATCATGGTAAAAAAAAAATATCCGGAAAAAGTAAATACTTTCCGAGATGACAAGTGTCTAATTAACGATTGATCACTCCGTATAATATAATCTCGTGCTAATATATATGGAAGAATCGCTAAAAAATTTCCGAGTGGAAATAAATAACTTTAAAATACCCCCTTAATGTTAGCAATACAACCATAACAGAATATTATGAAAAACATCCAACAAATTTGTTGGTAACTTGTTATGGAGGTCTTTAAAATAGTACCTGTGTAATAGAATCTAACATGTTGCATTAATATTTAAATATACCTTTAATTTTGGATTCTGAGTATAATAAATGTATTGGTTTTATTATGGTGCGTCTTACTTTTATTTATATTTTTTTTTTGCGTTTACATTTACGTTTTTATAATAGTGTAAATAAGTCTCAATTTCTGGTGGTGCAATGAAATATTTAATTTTCCAACTCACCAATACTCAAACTTTTGGTAATTTCCTGCATAATAAACAATTAATTATCACCTCTAATAGTTTTTTTTTATATAAATACAAAAATTCAAAATTAATATTGCATTATCAGTAAAAATGTATTTGATTGTCATATTTAATTTGTGAGATGAGTATAACTGTGGATAAATAATATCAGTGGGTGTAATTCACGTGATATAAGTTGATATACCTACTTCTTTGTATAACGTGTCACACTGTTACCACATGGGTAGTTGCCCCATTATAAAATTATATCATAACAAAAATTACAATTTTTTTTATCTATTAAACGAATTTTAGTTCTGAAAATAGAACTTATAGATTAGTATACCTATACAAATTTTCAAAATTGTCTGGCGATGCAATAAAAAACCTTACTCCGCCACATTTCAAATATCCTAAATTTGCCAATTTAAACCATTATGTTCGTAAAAAACTTTGCTCACAAAATCTTAAGTCAAGTAAGAACTGTATAGAAACTTATTTGATTTACAGTTAGTACAGTTGAGAGTCATTTATTTGTTTATTTTTTTGCTTTTAATTTGTTTAATTAAAATGGGAAAAATTAACCATTTTTGAATATTTTTATTGATTTCTAGGTTATTTTGATAACAAAAAAAATAATACGGCTAATAATACTTCAATATTTTCTAAAAATATTTGGACAGTAATAATATTTAAACCACTTTAAGCGCTCTGGACTGATCTTAATAAGATTTAGCAATGAGATAACTTGTGTTCAGAAGACGGACACAAAGACTACATTTTCTCCCGGAATTCAACCCCTAAAGGGTAGTTGACGCTTGATTTTCAGAATCTTTGTTTTGTTTGTTTGCAAAATATATTGAAAAATACTCACGAACAGCAGATCTTCATCACTGGAGTGAAAAAACTACTGTGTACAGCAAAAATAATAGACGAACAAGCGGACACGCCTTTCCGGTAGAAGGGGAGGGTAGGTGAACGGGTGGATTATAGGAGGTTACAACCGCAGAAATTTAATTTAGCACAGCTTGTAATTACCATTTATTTATTTTATTTTTATTTTTAATAACATAATACAAGCTAGGCCCAGAAATAATATATTAAATACATAAATTATGATAGTATAAATGTAACAATATAAAAACAATACAGAAAATGATGTTACAAAACTTAATGGGACAAACCCTATAGGTACAATAGAACACTTGGAAACTATAGGATCATTTTAAAGAGATAAATTTGAGTCAATAGTTGCAATACACATTAGACGGATGATTGGGAAGGTTAAGATAGTAGTTAGATGAGGAGGATGGGTTATGAAAAAGGAACAGATGACCGCGTATAACAAGAGAGGGCATTAAAAAATACACGTGATAAAAAATCAAAGCTATCAATTTTAGAGAAAAATAAGTTAGATAGGAATGATAAGTTAACTGAATGACGACGATCAACAATATTTTCTAGGGATAGATGGTATAGGAATGGTATATAGATGGTGTAGGAAAGGTGTATAGATGTGTATAGTCATGGGGTGGACAGAGTATATTTAGTTTTCAGACAGGGAAACAGAAACATTTTCTTTGGACCCTATCAATCATACATCGAGCAGAAGCGACAGACGGGTCTCAATGAATAGTGCTGTATTCTAAAATGTGATGAATTAGGGAACAAAAAAGCATTTTTAACGGAGTAAGCAGGTGAAAATCACCTGTCTAGTTTATCTTAATGATTTTTCAGAAAAGTTTTCAATATTGACCGTTTAAGTGGTAGGTATTGTTAATATTATGATGTATACTATGCCATTTTTTCTTTTTTTATATAAATGCCATTGGACCAGGGGGGCCGAGTTAGTATTGATTTCCTTACCTAAGCTAACCTATGTTAACTTGGACGAACCACGTTTGAACCACGAATAAAACTGCAACCCGTTTTAGACCAGGATTTAGTGAACCCGTTTAAACAAATACTTTTATATTTCTATACAATTTCGCTAAACAAACGTTCAGTTAAACTACGAAAACTTATTTTTAAATTGAGTAATAAGTAAATCATTTTGGTTAACATAAAATGTCTGTGTAACAATTTAATTTTAAAGCATATCAAAAATCCAGTTATATTAAATATATACCTATATCTATTATCATTATATAATAGATATCTGTGTATCAAGGTCTTATATACAATAAAACAACACAGATAAAATACTGCTATATAAAGGCTCGCTAAATAAACGTTCAGTTAAAAAATTCTGGCACAAACAGGCTTTATAAAAATAGTATTTTTTACCCCTAACGGGTCTTCAAAATTTGCCCAAACGGGTTGTTTCAAAAAAATTGGTCCAAACGGGTCCTGCACGCTAACTTAGTTTTCATCGTTGATGGCATAAAGTATTATTAACGCGTAAGCTACTTTATGAAATTAAAAAAAAACCTAATTTTTTTACTCATTGGGAACTTTCGCTACTTGCATACCCGGGCTTTTTGGTTTATTATTGTTAAATATTCGGATTATAAAAAGTCACGGACAACGATAAATCAGATCCAAAAATTGAACGAAATCGGAAAATACTGACTTTTTAAACCATCTGCGTGAAAGTCGACACATTTATCCCTTTCTTTCTTCCTCCTGTAGTTGTTTTTAATCAAATAAGTTTATGGTAGGTACCGAATATTCGTTATAATTAATAATTTATATGGTCGTATTGTATACATAGAATTTTAACGGAAAATTAAACGATTTGATAACATATTTTAAGTAGCTGATATTTTAATATAGTTTTAATAGAACACCCGTATAAAAAATATCGTTACGCATATAATATTATAGCCTGACTTATTATAAACTACATTTTTTTTCCTCGTTATCTTTCCAATACCACACCGTGTATAAACACCAAATTATAGGTATAATTAAACCATTTATCCAACATAATAAGTAATTTTTAATTGTTTAGAGTTTAGACTACCGACTATAAACCGATATAAATAATTGATTTAAATTGCTAGGTAGTTAATGAAATATTATCAGTTTTAAAAAAAATGTATGCTATTTATGATATACTTATAGGTATATAAATAATAAAAATACAATTTTTACCTCTTTTAAATTCATGTGTATAAACATAATAATATATAACTGAATCATGTATATTTACGAGTATAGCTACAGGAAATCTTTTTGATTTTTAATTAGTAATTAATTTTAAATGACTTTAAAAAAAAAAGATATTATACATATTTTTATTTCATAGAATATAATAGCTATATATTAAATAGGTTATCTATCCAGTGGTACCACGATACCATGATATCACTGAAACTAATACAGTACCTATGTAAATCGGATGGTAGCATTTTGAAAGAACGACATAGTTAGTCAAAATATGTTACGCGGTCAATTTATTGTAACCGAATGCACAGAAAAAATTCAACAAAATAATAAATACATAATATTATTTAATAGGTAATATGGCGTGATAGTGGATATATTAGATAGATATAGATGAAATAGGTACATACTATAATAACAGTCTAACCCAAAAACTTTCGTGGTCATTCATCTACAGAAGTGACATTTTCGTGTCATAACATACAGCAAAAATACGCCATATACTGGTGAGCATTTTATATCCGCAAGACTAATAAAAATTGAGACACCCACCGCCTATAAAACTAAAATGTCATTTTTAAGAGCTTTTAAACGAGACTTATAGTACCATCTTTTATTTTTCATAAATAAAATGTTGACCAAATTGCATTAGAATCTTTTTTACAAAGTAAAGATCAACTTGATTATATGTGTCTGATAACAATTATTTTTTTTGTTTGTTTATTTAAAAGTTTTAAAAAAAATATAAGATATTTTTAAACACAAGTAATATATTTCTAGTATACTTTTGTCTTATTTGAATAAAATATATTTTATAACATACGATTCAAACTTTGCATGCATACGTTTTGCACGTGGAAATTCGGTTACCTCTATATTCGGGAATCGGGATACACGTGTCTCGTATAATGTTAACTTATAATAGGTATTATAATTTAATTTTAATATCATTATTTCTAAACGTAAAATACGAATCGATTTTTGTATTTCACCATAATAGTATATAGGTAGATAATATGTCCTTTATGTCGTTGGAACAAATTTCCATGGATACAAATGGAAAATGAAACGATAGTCATCGTTCATATATTTTCAAATATAATAATTGTCCTCCGCCCACTAATTTGTAGGTAGGTACCTATGTACTTAAAAATATAAAACTATCGTGATGTGCGTAGGTTTATTTTACTATATATTAACAATGAAATACCAATAAGTGTATTGTTTGTAATGTTGTGTTTTATCATTTAATGATTATCTATCTATAGTCTTCTTTAGTTTTGTTCAGTTAACTGACTGATTGGTATTGCCTTCCGACAAGTTTTCTCCATTCCACTCTGTTTTCTATTTTTCTTTTAATATCTATATATCTTTATATCGTTTTTATATCTTCCTTAAGTAATTTTCTTTCGTTCATTTACTAGATCATTATTCTAACTTTATCCATCCAGTTAATCCCTTGCATGCGTCGATAGAACCACATCTCAAATGTTTTTATCGATTCTTCTTAATTTTTTTTTAAGTGTCCATCTCTTTGTTGAGTATAATACTACAGTCAAACATATGTCTTCAGTATTCTATTTCTGAGAGTAATGATTATCTTCTTTTATAGTAGGATCTATTTTTTATCGTAAAATAAAATCTTCGCCATTCAAATTAGTTTTATAATTTCCATTATATATACATATCACATCATCTGTAATAATTTGACCAAAATAACAAAAGTGGTTTACCTGCTCTATCATTTGGTCATCTACTGAGATTTCTGCCTGTGTCATTTTTGCAATCACCTATTTTTGTTTTTCTGGTCCTTATTCTCATGTTAATTTGTTTTGCTATACTTACAGTTTATTTTGTTTACTATTTCTTGTAATGCTTTTTCCTACCCAGAAACTATTGCTTGGTCATATGCAAATTTAATCATTTAAATCATAATTCTACTTATGTTCAACCCATTTCTATTACTACCAATATCTTCATCCATTTATAAAATTATAAAAACACTGACGACGTTTTCTACCAAAAAAAATTATTTAATCGAAAAATCACAAGTTACCTTTTTGCTTTATTTTCTTACAGTATCATCGCTAAAAAATGTGGAGCTTTTAAGGAATTTTAATTTTTGGGAGTTTTTTCTGTAATTTGGTTACAAATACACGTAGAAACTTGAAACTTAGTAATAATACTTATATTGGACTTACCTAGTTGTAGTAAAATTTCCAAAATCATCGGATGACTTTTTTTTTTTTTTGACAAGCGTTTTTAAATCAGATTTAAACGAAAATCACAAAAAAAATTACTGCACTTCAAATTATGTATTACCAAACTGCGCTCGGAATCGTCTTTCGTCAAGCAATGGTTTATCGTTACCAACGATATAAATTAAATAACCTTATGTATTCTACCTTCCCAACTTCTCACCTACAACAGTGGTCGCTCCCATTCCCAATATCAGATTTACATAGATTTATTTTACCATTTATTAAAAATATCAATATATGTATTATTTACAGTATTGTGTTTTATCTAGATGATGATGTATCTATAGTTAGGTTTATTTCTATCTTACATTTTTTTTCCCGAAATCATCCTCTAACTGAGAGGATTTCTATCTTGTCTAGATAAATGGGAAAGATAATAACCTAACCTTCATATTTATTAGAAGTATTACCTAGGTAAAATATTTCATTTATATTAATTTGTATTTATATTAATAAGGTTTAATTAATTAATTATTTTGTCGCATCAACCATACATAAGCAAAATCTCTATGTGTGCCAACTTCGTATACGCTTTTATGATCATTTTTTTTTATTTTAATAAATGTTCTTAATTATTTATCCCTACATAGACTATTAAATTGTTCTGTACTTTATATATTTATCCAAATAATTACTCCAGCAATTATTTCTTATCTTTATCGATGTATTTTAAAGTGTAGGTATAAGTATGTATAACGCTGATTATTTGTATATTACCAATTTTATAATGCGTTTGGAATAATATTATTTACAGATTTCCTGTATGTGGACTACCATGTACACATTGACTGCAGCCCTACAGGCGTTAGTGATAACTGAGGGAGAAATTTCCGGTGGATCGTTTTAAAACGAGTAAATGATTAGTGATTTGTCTATATATTACACGTAACACGCGTAATGTAATAATGATGAAAAAATAATAATAATAATACTTATATATTACGTTACACTTAGGCGTGAAGAAAACGACGATATAAAATTATTTCAAACGGCAGAAAAATGGGCGACGTCGAAATGAACGTGTGTTCGATCGGGCCGAACGATCAACTGCTCAAAGCCATCCAATCGAACGACCTGAGTCTGTTCAAAAAACTGCTGGAAATCGGGTTGGAAAACTTATCGTTGGATTTGGATTATATGTTCGACGAACCCTACCACGGTACGATAATGGACATCTGCTGCACGTCGGCGGGCAAATCGAAATTCGCTCAAACGCTGTTGTCAGTGGGCGTGAACGTGAACGTTATCAACAAAAACCGAAAAAAGGCGCCAATACATTTGGCGTCTATGAATGGGTGCCGAGACACATTGGCGGTTCTGCTAAGTCATTCACCGACCGACGTCAATTTACTGGACAACGACGGGAATTCGGCTTTGCACCTGGCCGCAAAATCCGGGTCTGTGGAATGTACAAAATTACTGCTGGACTTCAAAGACACACGAGCCAATCAGTTGAATAGGAAAGGTTTCACACCGGCGTACTTAGCGGCCACTTCGAAGAAAAAAAACGACGAATTGATGCTAGCGTTCATCAGGTAATATCAAACGATACATACATTATAAATGATTAAGGATGGGATTTATGTATGCTTTTGTATAATTTTATTGATAGGTCCCAATAAATTGCTAGTTTACACCACTTCAACAATATGACTTATCGTTTTTTTTTGTTTATTTTTTTTAAGGCTATATTTTGGTATTTTTAGTACATATCTGCATATAATTAAAAGCTTTTTAGAGCATACAAATATCTGCTCTGTAATAATGCATAATATTGTAAAGCAAAAAAATAATGTCGCAATATCAATTGTTAAGTACATATATACATCTAACATCAAAATTTAACGATTGGACGTATAAGATACAATATAATTATAATGTACAATAATAATAAAAGATAACTTGATAGTATAGACTTTTATTTAGGTATTCCGCAATTATTATTAATTTACGATAAAATTATCAATATCAGAAATGAAAATGTCATAAAAGCGCCCGTTATTTAGAATATCCTTTATTTAGATGTTTTCCTAAGTATAAATAATGAAAATGTTCCCGTTTCCGAAAAAACGACCGCTATTTAGAGGTGTCTGTTAAGCGACATTTCATTATATATTATATATTTTTTTGCAGATGTCCAAAAGTCAACGTAGACATGTATGTTTGGGATAAATTATTGCGGAATGTGATCATCGAGAAATATCCGCATTTATCGAACGAAATGCCGCAGGAAGGTACGCGAACAATTATCGACCAATGCGATAATCCGTTTGTGTATCTCTACTCAAACAATACGGACAGTTTTATTTCGCACATAACCTCTGCGAATCGAATTGATTTGAACAGTCACGACGGCAGGCACACATACCTTCAATACGCGTGCGATTTCGGTTTGCCGAAAGTCGTCCAAGTCCTGCTTGATCTGGACGCGGATCCTAACGGAATATGTCCGTCCAATACTAAGTATCCGATTTTCATCGCCGCGTTCAGAGGTTTCGCCGACATCATACAATTGTTTTTGGATAGCAAAAAATGCGTTCGATACCAAACAGCTGGCGGTACCGTACTGCACGAAGTGATCAAAGGTTCGGACGAGAATCACAATTCGCTGGACGTGCACACGGAGCTATGCGATCACAACAGGTCATTTAACATGCTGTTGCGGAAAAGTGAATCGAGGCCGTTCGAGCTGGACATTAACCGAGGGGACGACAAAGGCAACACTTGTTTACATTACGCCGCAAAAGTGGGCAACCGCGATAGTACAATGTCTCTGTTGGAAGCGGGCGCGTACGTGGGCAAAAGAAATGTGCTGGGCGATCCGCCGCTCGCCGACATTAGCCCGAAAATATTGGAATCGCACCTGAATAAATGCATAAAGACCAACGGTAAATCGCCGAAAGACATGAACTACGAGATAATATTCGCGTACAATTTCCTATGCCCGCCGAACGCGTACAACAAACACAAGGACGTCGACAATTTTCAAGCTCAATTGGAAGGCCAAGAATACGTTCCGGAGAACATACCCGAAACCGACCCGTTGCTATACATCAGCGAAGTGCCGGAACTCAGACCGCTTTTGAAGCACCCGGTATTGACCAGTTTCCTCCATCTGAAATGGTTCGCGATAAAAAGATACTACAAGGTTAATCTGGCGTTTTACATTGGATTTTGGGCGCTCTTGACCATATACACGTTGCTAACATTTAAAATAGGCGCCCAAAATAGCAATTTGTCGTTGACGCAACAGAACGTAACCGAATTTTCCACGTACAAGGTGCCGTTCAGCAGCGATGTGGCCGTATATTTGTGGGTTATCGTATTGGGATTCCTCATAGCTCTGACGTTCCGCGAGTTGTTCCAGCTGATCTCGTCGCCGATCGCGTACGTGACCAGTTTGGAAAACTGGCTGGAAATCAGTCTAGTTGTGCTCACTTCTGTGCTGCTGCTATGTGAAATGTCTTGCATGTCGATCAGAAACCAAGTATCCGCCGTCGTCATCCTGTTGTCCTGGGGCGAACTCATACTGCTCGTGGGCCGACATCCGGCATTGGCCACTCACCTGGAGATGTTCAAACGGGTCACCAAAAACTTTCTAAAATTCCTAGTGTGGTATTCTATATTGATCGTCGCGTTTGCCCTGAGCTTTTACATGTTGTTCCGGAACGACGCCGACAACGACAACAAATTCAACGACCCTAGTTCGGCGATGTTCAAGACGATTGTCATGCTCACCGGGGAATTCGACACGTTTGGTTCATTGCCGTTCAGTCTGCATCCGATCGTCAGCCACGCATTGTTTCTGTTGTTCATATTCCTGATCGCCATTGTTTTGGTGAACTTACTCAATGGTCTCGCCGTCAGTGATACCCAGGCAATCAGAGCCGATGCGGAAATCGTCGTCCACGTGTCCCGCGTAAAACTCATACACTATTTCGAAACGATGGCTGTCGGAGACCCGTTTTCGTGGATACACAAAGCCCGGAATCGCATAAACCATTTTGGGTACAACATTCCCGCGTTCCACACTAGACAATTTTATCTGAAAATCAAGTTGTTCCCGGACGCTCTGCAAGATTCGGAAATAAGAATATTGCCCAATCAACGGAATTTCGTGGACTTCGGGACGTCCGTGAAAAAAAGTCAAATTGGATGCATTGCCAACTGTCAAGGTTATTATCTGGGCAAAGAGATCATCAACGAAGCCAAGGCGATAATTAAATCCAATTTAGACGGGTCGGACAAGAGTTGTATGGAAATTTTAGAATTGTTCGAGGGAAAATTCAATAGCATGGAAAAAGCCGTGGGGGAAATCAAAAAAATGCTAAACGCGATGAACACCAAAAGCGGAATGTATTCGTCATCAGCTTCGTCGATAAATTCCGTTGTGCCAAACAGCGGTTCGCTCTAATATAACTAAAAACGCGTGTTTCGGTACGAGTATTTGAATATTACTCGTATTATATATTTTATAAAATTAAAACAATTATATTATATAGCTTAACCCAACTATTGGTTATATCACGTTGAAATTCAAAATGTCATGTACAGAATTAATATTAATAATAACTATTCGGTTTCACGGAAGAAAAACTTAAGTCAATTTTTAGATTTTTTTTAAATTGTTTTCCCTTTAGTTTTCGATCCAAATGGTATACGTGTATGTATATTCTGATATACGTTATACTGGCTGAAAATTAAAATATCCTAAGTACTTTTCGTTTGGCCAATGACGGAATTTATAGCCATTTATATCCGTTTACTAATATTCTCAACATTTAATTTGCTTTTATTGAAAACCATACTAACTGTCAAACGAAATAATTGACTTAAGCTCTTTATTGTTGTAACCTGCCCGGTTGATTCAGTTGGGTCTGTTGAGGGAAGCCGCCGTACGGTCGGTTCCGGTTCGACGGTTAGAAATTTTGGTAACGTTGATCGTTCAAATAAATAGAGCACATCCGTTTGCTGATCGATTAAATCATTAAACAGTTATTATAATAATAATAATAATGAAAGATCACTAGTGGATTGACACGTCGGGAACTTTTCTGACGTCGCACAATCAGACACGATGGCAGGCAGGAAAATACTCCGCAGAATTACAGTCCGCAAAATACTGAGACTACGCAATTATGAACCATAGGAGTTTCATAACACTTTCCCCGGGACCAAAAATTATTATAAGTAACTCTGACAAATTGAAATTTATGCGTTTACGACGGTGATTTATATACGTTTTCTTTGGTTTTTATAAGTGGGTATACGTTACAACTAATAAAAAATATAATATCATGACATAGGTAACGAATTAATAATTAATAATTTGTTAATTCGGTATTTAAATAAAAATATAGGTATTTATTTATAAATTGAAATGTGTATAAAAATTATTATCATAATTATAATTTGTTTTTTTTTTTTTTTTTATGTAATTTAACGGCATTTAAAATCGTAAATATTATGCGTTTAAGTACCTGTGATTAATACAATAATACATTGTTAACTGATATTTATAGTAATATTTTATACGATGACAAAAAAAAAATTGAATTAATAATGATAACGTATTACTTTTACCAAGTTAAAATACAATTTTAAATAATTATTATTCTTTTACATACCTACTAGGGTAGGGTAGTTAATAGCTAATATTATAATTTTATTTATCAAAGTCAAACACTGATTATTACGCCGGTTTATCGTTTCGTTTTTTTCTTTTTCTTTTTCTTTTTTTGTTGTTGTCTAGCGGTTATATAATATATAATAAATCTACTATTTAGTTAAAATAATATTACGTTGTATAGCATAATATATAACGAGAATATTTATATTGTTATATCATAATTTACATTAATTTTTGATAATATTACTATACCTATACCTATAATATTATTATAATTATAGTATGTAAGTACACACCTAATACTGTTTATTTTCTGTTGGTTTTGTAAGTTTATATTGTGTTAATAGTGTTAACACGATGCGGTTTTACTTTTTCGTTTAGCTCTATAATACTTTATGTATTTAAACGAAAAATTAAATATCGATATTATATATACCTATATATAATATCGATCAAACGTATCGTGACTAAAAATAATTAAAATGCAATTCTACGTTATATTCGAACTATTTGATCATCAATGATGATATTATTATTATTGTACGATACGATTATACTATTTGTAATTGTTAATAATAATAATACTTAATTCTAATAAAATGTACCTATGCTTTTTTGAGGGGAACGGTTGTTTTAAATATTTATTTTATTATTACTATAATTATTATTTATCAACAAATAAAGTATAATATAATTTCATTATTTATCGAAAACGGTTAAAAAAAAAAAAAAAACAACTGCCTATTTATTCTATTATAACTTTAAATCAGCTGCAAGTATCATCTTATAATTACTATCAATATACCTATCAAAGATATCGGTATTATATGCTACAAAAAAATAAAAAAATATTCAGGAAATGGGAAAAAACTGAATAGAATTCATTTAGATCGGTATATGTGCATTAATATGTATTTAATATTATCAATTTTAGTTTATATGAGTACATTAAATACATAAAATATGTACCTACTTCAAAAATACAGTTTTATATCAATTTACGTAAAAAAAAAAAAAATTATTTTTGAAAATATTATAACAAACGCCAATCTCGTAACATATCTCGTGGTCTTCAATTGTTTAACAATATTCTCAACGTATATTAATACACAATAAATCTGCAAATGTATTGATTTTCAAACAGCGACTATCGCATTTGTTTTACTCCGGTTTAAAAAGACAATGTTTTTCTAAAGCAAATAAATTCATAATGTGATACGCGTAACACTATGATATACACCAACAACCGTTTATGATGAGTTATTACAGTTTATACATTTAAGCTAACCGAGTAAGGAGGAAGGGATATATCTAAACGCGGATACGGAATTCTATAATAGGAACTGAATAAACCATAGACATTCAAGATATATAGATGTGCCGTCAGTTGTATTTTTGCAGTAGTAAATATTGACCTACGATCTATACTATGTTACTATAGCAATGATGATAAAAAGTTCAACATTACCTCTCCTATCCTGTATTCTAGACGTACTCCTAATGCCGGCCCCTCTCGGACCACGGCCTACAATTATGTACTAGGCATAATATGTGTTAAGCATAATAATAATTATCCATTCATTTTCCAAATGATCGTTTCAAATTAAATTCAAATCTATTCAAAATCCCCTTGGGTCGCTGCGGGTTCACGATAAAAGGAAATCACTCTGTATATAATATAGACCTAACTTGTACGTTTTTCGTTTGACACATTTATGATTTATGATATAGAAAAAATAATATAGTATACAAATAATATAATGCATAATGTTATTTGTATAAAACTATGCATGGATACGTTACATGATGCATATGAAAACATTTCGTACAAATTGAATACCTATAGTGAAGGTATAAGCTGTATAAATATTGTTATCCAGGAGCCGACACGGAATTTTAATCGTAATTCAAAATATATTGTACAACGAGTACTACGCGTCTTCCACCTATTTTAATAATTCTACGATAAAATTAACGACTTATAATATAATAATGTGTTTCTTTTTTCTTTTTTTTTTCAAGGAGTGGTTTGTGACAATAAATTTGTGATAATGGTATATTTATATTGTACGTATATACTATATAGATAGTGCGTAGTTCCAACGGTTTGCATATGCACTTTTACGGACCGTTATTTAGGGTAGAAAGCAAGAAGGCAGCCTGCAACATCCGAACTCTAAATGTATTATTTTATGTCTAATCGGAATAAAAATATGCTTGAGGGTATCTGGTGAGCCGTAAGAAAAGACGTCTAATAATAATTGAAAACCTAAGTAAGCAAAAATAGTATTGAAATAACGAAAGAGGAGATAACCGAAATTTAACGGTTATTGAAGTGACAAAAGGCTTACATGGCCTGTAAAAAATAGAAAAAAGTAATCCTAATAAATAAAGCACGGTTTATTTTATTTCAATTTTCAAACAAATATTTAATTGTAAATTATAATTGCTCACAGTGCTCACATAATCGATAGGTAGGCTAAATTTTGTAGCAATATAGAAAGTTAGCAATAATATTAGTTCAAGGGAGTATACTCTATAATTTGTAATTCCTATATAAACAGTCAAAGATATCAAAATATGGTTTTCATTAAAATTTAAAAAATAATTCAAACAAAGTGTGCCAAATAATTTGATGATCAAAGGTCAAAAATTATAAAACAAATAAATAAAAAACGTGACTATAAAAATTAAATTAATAAACAATGTACAGAAATATTTAACAATTTGAACTTATAAAAATATCGTGATTATAAAACGAATTTTCGATATTTTTGTATTTATTCACATTAACTGGAAGACAATTAACAAGATGTGGATTTTTTTTATAATTTTTATTAAAATCTAAAATTCATTACATAAAAAATAAAAAGTAACTCATGATTACGGATTTTCAATATTTTTAAGTTGTACCCATGCGCATATCTATAATCGATTATACATGTGTGGAGGACGAATGAATCTACATGGGAAGTAGCTGCATACTCTACTTCTCTCTTGTCTATGATTGCGCAGTTGTATAGCTTAAATAAAGAATTCGATAATATGATGTAAAAAATATAAATATTTATTTTAATATCGATAATATACTAGATAATAACTACATAGGTGTTTGGGAAAAAAAAATATTATGTAAGATTATAATATAGAAAAAAAACATTTTTTTTTTATATTAAAATAAAATAATATTTAAGACAAATTACGCTTTCGTCGCATGTATTACACAACAGATTTTTTTTTTAAATGTTATCAATTAGATAATATTATATGACGACGACAAAGGACAAAGGACAAACCTACAGTAATATATTTCTTATTGGCTTTAAACGATATATATATTTTAGATTTGGACCGTATAGTGAAGAAATTTAGAATACATTGGTTTCATAATGATGTTTATTATTATTATTATTATTATTTTTTACTTTTTATTGTGTACACAATTTCTACCAGAAATCATACACTGATGTTATTAAATGTAACACTTTTTCTTAAAGTAAATTTCACGTGGTTTTTACTTTAAGGAGGTTATTTTTTGATTTTTTAAGTGGTTTTTCTAATAATTGGGAAAAAATGAAGACAAAAATGACAAATATTTACGGCATAATGATTTCATGATTTTACATTTTTATAACGATATGTTTTCTCCTATAGATATATCAATCAAAAAATAACATGATACCTATACCTTTTGTGTTACATTTTGAATTTAATTGCTCACTCACGAGGAAAGTCGTATCCTTATTTTCCACGTAGTCTTCATAATAATTGGGAATAAGTAACTAAAAAAATACGAAAAATGAAAACTGATAAATTGACGGCATCACGATCTTTTTATAATAAATTTGTACGACTTATGTTTTCTACGAGAAATATTGATCCAATTGAAAAACAACAAGTGACCTTTCTTGATGATTTTTTAATGTAGCTGATAAATAAATAAGTCTTTTTTTCGATTTCCCGTATAGCTTTTTAAATAACTGAGCCTTACCGAAAAAAAAAACGTAAAAAGAAAGGGACAAATCTACGAAAAAATGTTTTTATTATTTTCAATTTTGTTTTTTGTTATAATTCTATTAAAAATATTTTTGAAGACTTGAAATTTGGGTAGAAAGCTAATATTTTCCTTTTCTAGATGTGGTAAAATTTAAAAAAAATATGAGTCATTGTTAAGCTATTGATTAACATTTTCATTTTCCAGTTTTTTAAATAATTTGTATTGGTAGGTAGGTAAATTGTTAGACTAAACAAAAATACATGCAATTTTAACTGGAAGTTCTTATAAGTTATACTTTGCGGTTAAAAAAACAAATTGAATTTAATGTACTTAAAATTATTTTTTTTATAAAAATTTTAATATCAAATTTTGACGAAAATCGTAAGTATTACGCCCTTTCAAATCATGTATAACTGAACTATGTTCCAAATCGCCTTTCATTAGCAATAATATATACATAATATGTAATGATATAAATTAAATTCTCCTCTATATTCTACCTCCCTTCTCACCCACAACAGTGGCCCACCAATCGTGCGAAGTATGTCAGTCTCATTGTATTATCCCCATTGTAATATCTCTGGAGATAATACAAATAATCAAATTTTGTTTTTATATTACTCACTGATATATAAAGACTACAAGTATTAGTAATTGAATTCATTTTTTATGTTTTGATAAAAGAAACTTAAAAAATAGCAATTTAATTTTTTAAAAGTCTGAAGGTAGCAATTTTTTAATTTATTCTTCTAAAAATGTTAACTTATCAACTTTTTATTTTCATTATACTCATGGCTATTAATAATTTTGGAAAGCCCAGAGAAAAAATTATATAATCATATTAGCCATAATTATAATAATCAATTAGCGAATGCAATCACAGCCTGCTACATAGTTATTGGTATTTTTCTCTGGATTTTAAAATTTTTTTAAAATCACGAAAATAATGAAATAAAAAGTTATTGTTTTAATTTTGCTATCAAAACATAAAAATTTGATTCAAATATAAATATTTGTAGTCCTTATGTGAGTAATATGAAAAAAAAATATAATTCGATTATCTTTATTTTCCCAGGAGATATTGTCATGGGTATACCTTTATGGGAAACTCTGTATATTATACTGTGATAGATGAACTGTTTAAACTGATACTGTGGTGTGGTTCACTCGTTGTAACCCATATAGGTACATAAAAATTATTTTAGTACACTTATGAAACACGTCTAGCTAGTTGTTACTTATAACCAGCTGCAGTTAAAATTAGTATTATTCTATTCTAGCACGGTACGAAAACTAGGTTTTAGAAACGACCTCGCAATATGAAATATGCCTAGTAAAACAATAAACATTCTCAATCAGTATAGTTTCATATTTTACCCCGTAATATTTTGACCGTCATGATTATTCTTATAAAACAACAGAGAATTTCACTTACCTTTTCAAACCGATTATATTTATAATTGTTAGCAATTTTAATTCGAATTTATCATGGGAATTTTAAATATATACTATTGTTATTTTTATTATTATTTATTTTTTTTTCGTAAATTTGGGTTCAATTAGTTGGAATAGAGTAAGAAGATTTTTACAATGATTTTCAACAGAAATACTTGACATGAACAAATAAAGACCAAATTGGAAAAGAAAATTAAAAAAAAAAACAATTAGTCTTTTTTCAGTAAGGTTTTTTCACTTGTGAGGGTGGAGTAGTATATACTCTCGCTAGGTAATTCAAAACAACGCGTTTACTTTATGGTTAGTGTAATTCGGAATGCATAAATAGATTCGATACGTCCATAGGGAATTGTAAAAGACTATGAAAACTCAATTTAAAATATTAAAGGACCAAAATTACCGAATATGTTGACTAAAATTCGGTACTTAGTTAATTAATAAGTGGTCCGGTACTTTTGTATTTTTCCAGGCTGAAATCGCTCTCCAATCCGTCCCTGATAGGGTTAAATTATTTTTGTATACCAGAAGTAAGGTGATTATGAAAACAATATAATTAGTATAATTAAAATACACCGTTAAGTCTTAAAGTCTAAGTAATTCGTACGAGTCAATAGCATTGGGCTCAATCGATAAATCTGTCCCTATTGGGATCTCATCGTATGAAAAAACGCGTCTACAGACTAAAAGAAGAAAAAATAAGAAAGAAATAAACAGCATTGTAAAACCAATAGCTCCCTAGCTACCCTCGAAATCTAAAAATCAAATTAAAAACGAACCTAACATTTGACTTCAATGGAAATCAAGAGAAGTTTAAAGATTTATAAATATTAAAAACAAAAATTTTAAAAGTGAAAAATCCTATAATACCCAATATATAAGTTTTAATACATTCTAAAACATGAATAACATTTTAAATAATCTCGAAAAAAACGATTTTGCTTATCACACCGATATAGCTGAAAACATAATTTGCTTATTATTTTCTTATATTATCTTCTTGTCGTATAGAAGTAACCGGTATAAATGCAAATGTAATTGCAAACAATTTATATAGATTTTAATTCGATCGTTCGATTAACTTCCTATGAAGTATATTATAATATAAATTAGGTATAATATATAAGTACATACAATATAATATACATATTACATAACCAAAGAAAATACTATTCACGAATACCTATAAACAACGATATGCCACCAAAATGTTTCCATTTGTAATTTTTAGTTATGCAGGTAAAATGCACGTACATTTTGGATATTCAACGAATTATTTATTTAAAATTTTTTTTTTTTAAATGTCTACTATACTAGCCGGTTGCTGTAGAATATAACTGGAAACTGTATAAACACTGATAAACTATATCATGCATAATATGTATTGGGTAGGTACCAGCTATATACACCACCTGGATAAATAACGATTTCATTCAATATATGATTATGGACCGTAATACCGTATGTATGCAGTATAACAATACTAACATAAAATAATAAAAACCATAGATTTCAATAGAAACATCAATCTGTATACAGTAACTCAATTTACACTGTGACTTTACCATTATAATATAAACATTAATAATTATTTTATAATAGGTAAGTATTATATAGTAAGTACCTGTAATATTATCTGTTTCTATGGTTCACCGTAAGCACAATATTCCATGATTATTAACACATATTATAAGTTATATAGGCTTGGTTGACAATTACCTTTATGGGTAGATGAATAATAATGCTAAGCTTTAGGTTTTTTTATGCGTGGACATAATTTGATCCCTAATATATTTAGACATTGTCAGCGTACTTTTATTATAACAAATTAAATAATATTTAAATTGAAAGCTTGATAGTATAATTTACCTATATGAGTAACTGGATAAAAATCTAGGAGGCACAAAATCATTTATTTACCATAATCAAACCATCACCCCCAACACACTTTAAATATATTTTAGATTCTGAATGAAGTGAAGAAGCTTATAGTTTTATACATAATTTTTCTACCAGAAGATTTGCTCGGATTTCTAAGTGTAGCACTTTTTCTAAAAGGAAATTTCACTTGCGAGGTACTTTAAACAGGTCATTTTTCGATTTTTCAAAGAATTTTCCCAACAAATGTGAAAAACCGTGATAAAACATGGGAAACCGAGAAAAACGTAGGAAAACTGGGAAAATCGGTACAACATTAAACAAATATTATTAAATTAAATATATGAAGTCTATTTAATTATTTTAGTATAGAATGATATATATATTGTTGACAAAGCATCAGTATCAACCGAACTCCGCTCAGAATCGTTTTTTCGTAAGCAATGACTTATCATTGCTTACAGGTATACATTAAATTATCTATAACAGTAGATACACTCATTCCCATTATCCTAGGATAGATTTTTTGACATGCGCTTATTTCATTGTTATTTTGTTGTTTTTATTATAATTGTTTAATTGTTAAAACAAAATTGTTTTACTTAGTGTATTTTATTTAATTTAGTTTTTTTAAATATACAATACATTTTATTAATTATAAATGTATAAAACAATTGTATAATACGGATGCGGATTATCAACTGATTATCTGATTATCTGGGTTTAAATGTATCTCGTACAGAAATCGTGTACCAGGAATTCATAAGGATCTAAGATGTGACAGCCCACCTACGGACTGCCGCGAGCCGTATGACGACCGCCTGCTCATACATTCCTGATACAAGATTTCAGCACAAGGATCTCATTAGAGCCTGAGCCATACGTAACAAAACTGTTTAAATATACATATATATATATATATATATATGTATGTAGAAAATATGTGCATAATGTATAAAAACATATATAAAAATAACGACGTATAAATACAATTTTAAAATATATTTAAAAATTGTATTTATTTTAAATTCCATTTTAAAATTCGACATTTATTTGTTTGATCTAATCGTTAATATCCTGTTAGTATTGGTTAAGAACAGAAATCATTGTTGGTAGATAATTGGTTTTTATTTTTTAAATTAGGTCCTAAATTCAAATTTGCCAAACAACCTTTTCTTGTAAACTGTTGATTCAACAATCGTTCACATCTGTTACTCTCGTAAAATTGAATATACCTATTTTTGATATTTAAAAACGAAAAGTCCTAATTCTATTTATAATTAATAATAAATTATTAAACCTTTATAATATTTGTAATGTTAATAATTAAACAATTTCAATTAATTAGTCTCTTCATTTTACATTCTACCTATTTAGGTACTTTATTACCTTATTATTAAGGTTTTAAATTATAACCTGGGTATAATAGATTTGATTAAACTTGATAAACTTATTTCAATAAATTATAATGAAAATTCATTGATTTAGTTTTTCATTTGAAGTTTTTAAAATACAATATTAAGATTATTAATTGATTTAAAATAATTGATAATTTTAGCCCTGAACATCATTACACGGTAGTTTTATATATGATAGTACTCGATTAACATACGTATTCGAAATACATCTGAAAAAAAATTAATCAATTAACAATGATTTTTGTTTCAATACTAAAGTAAAATTATAAATTTTAAAAGTTTAAACGGCCGTTGAAATTTAAGTCAGTAGACCTAAAATGAACTATCGAGCTATTAAAATATCTCGATTAATCACGCAAAATATTATACTTTTTTTAAAATTAAATTTATGTTAATTTTATCTATTTTTCATAATTATAAACAGGTGAAAATCCTAAAACTCGATTAGTCGATATCCTTATTCTTAATCCGGTGCTGACTGTATGTCCACTAGAAAACAAATGGTAAATTATTAATTTAGGTACCTTAGGTAACTTATTTATTAGATTTTTACATTTTATAATAAAATAGTTTATTTTATATCGGTAGGAAATAGTTACCTACTCTCACTGTTAGGTAAAGAAGTAATTATTAGAGAAAGTTCATAAGTTAAGTGGATAGTTTGATATATTTACTCATGGAGCTTTTTTATGGGAGGGGAGTAAACATGCAATGGCTATTTGTTAAAAAATGACCAACAAGCGGCTGTCCCCACGAACACATCAAATTTATATTTATTTTTCAGTAAATAGGTAGGTACGAGGTAGATACTTATATGTCAATTGCGTGTCATACTTTCGTGTTTCACTGCTATATCATTAAATTTGATTAAAATTTAAAATGTAACATTCGTTGAATTTAAAAAATAAAATAATAAACCTAATATAATATAGTTATAATAGCAGGCACCTACCCTACCTATAAAATAAATAACAGTTTAATCAATAGTAGGTATTATACAATACATCAGTTCGACACGCAGCTGTTCATGCCTCGCATTTGCCGGTTACTAATCACTGATAACGAATAATGATAATGTTAAAAGCAAGAATACTACAATAGGTAAAAACGATTTTTAAACTAAAAAATATGTATAAATTATTTTTCCTTATATACGAATAAATACAGATGTTATAGTATTAATAAAATAGTAACATAGTATTAATATGGTTCGCGTCATAACAGCCTACAACTTTGAAGGCCAAAAGGTAGATACCTGTGCCGATCCAGTCGCTTTCACGTCAGCTCCTCCAAACAGGTAAACATTACAAGCATCTGTAATGATTCTAGGTTAAAAAAAACCCTCTTTACTTACCCACTATTTTCTAGATTGTTAATTGCATTAGCTTATCATGCTATTGAGGTTCGAGACCTGTCAGAAGAACCCAAGCCCACCTATACGATACCCACTGTTGACCAAGTGATCCAGTTGTCATATTGTACATCTGGAAACTATATTGTGACACTAGAAACAAAGCAAAAGAGATCTGGAGACGATTTGTTGTACGTAAGAGTCTATTGCAACTGGGAACAATGTAGCCAGGGAACTCCACCATTACGGGCTAGGATAGCCGGACGTGTTACGCCTACTGGGTCTCAAATTGGAGACAATGCTTTGGATATGATCGAAATTCCAGTCAAGTTTACCACAGTCAATTCGTTTGCCTGTTGTCAGGTAATGCAAAATAAAATATCACAAGGTGAGATTATGTGCATAGGCATATAGTTAACATATTTCAATACACCTATTTTTATGTATTTTCAAATTTTCTCTCAAGTTAATACATAAGTATTGTAAACTATAAACAATAATTTAACAAAATAGATATTTACAAAACTAATTCAATTAATAACTTATAGGAGACAGGGAACATTATCATTGCATCTAAGTGTACCCTCAGTATTTTTAGAATGGTTATAAAAACACATGACATATCTCGACTACGATTTTTGGATTTCGACACGTGGCCAATGGTAATGGATCTTAAGTTTAATGTCTGTGATTTACAAATGGAACAAGATATTGTAGCGGTATTTGGGGAACAAATAATTCAAGTATTTCAAATTCTTAAAGGTGAAATGTACCTAATAAATTGTAATTTAATGAAATGTATTTTTATAATTATTTTATTTATAGATACTAAAAAAATATTAGATTGGACTTCTGCCCCTAATATCACGAAATCAAGTTATATTCAAGAAGACCTTGAGCAACCTGAGATTTCACCGAGTGGACCTATTAATCTAAATCAGTTACTAAAGTCTAAAAATGATTCTTATCTAAAACAACTGGTTAACCCAAAATGTTTTCCGATTATGGTGGTAACTCCAGGCTTTGATGATAGTGCATTGGTTGACCAAGAAGAAAATGCTCCATTTAACATTGTTTCTCTGCCTATAAATATAAATGAAACAGAAGCTAATGATGTATAATATTTATATTTTATTTTTATTATTATACAATTTAATTTTATAGCTATTTTTAAAAAAATTTTCTTGTAGCCTTGGAGTGAACCTATTCACTGGAAAGTAAAAATGTTATTACAATTGAAATTAAATATCAGCAGATGTCATGGTGCAAATGAACGTATAAAAACTGTATTATTGCATTTAGTTTATAAACGACATGAAACTTCAAAAGCATTAGGTAACTCAGCTCCATTGTTAAAAACAACGTATTTTGAAATAAATTTAATTATTTTTTAGAATGGACCTTTCCACGTTTCCGCACTGAAATTTATAATCAATTAGTATGTATCAACTGCTTAATAAGTTTAAAAGAAGAAGCATTTGTGTTTCATTCATTTGTGGTGCATGAAAAAAATGAGGTCAAGGTTTGTACACAAATTGATGAAATTTCAAAATAATTTCTTATATTATTATGAACACTACATTATAAATTTGATTTTAGATGACTCCTACACAATGCATTACTGTTTATAATTTTACGTCGCCAGTTGTTAACATTTTTATGGATCGTTCAGTACTACACGTATTAACTACCACTAGCTTAGAAACCTACACAATTAGATTATTTCCTTCTTCGAGTCCTTCTCCGGTATATACAATTTATACTAAAATTATAAAAATAATGATTTAAATATTATTAAAATAATTATATTAGTATTATATTATTTTAATTTTTAGTCACAGATTTTATCTGAACGTGTTACACTAATTGGTCATAAACCATTTTTGGGTATAGTTGACATGGTACTTTTGGAAAATAAATTGGTTATTTTTACATCTGCAAACTCAAATCAAGATAATAAGTAAAAATAAATACCTTACATTTTTTAATATGATAAACTTGCTATTATTCATATGTTTTTAGGTTAAACAATAGTTGGACTCTTTACATGTTGATTCTGCCTTCTCCTAGTAATATTTGTAAAGTTCTCACATTTAAAGCAAGGATTTCTAGATTCAAAACGCCAAATAAGTATATTCATTTGATAAAAGAAGCTTTAAATATATCTGATATTGTAGAAAATTATACATATCGTGGCTGTGGTTCTGCGCGTTTGTGTAACAACGATTTCAAAAAGTTTTGCTGTCTTGTTGCAGACCATTATTTTTTGTAAGTTTAGTAAATCAATTAACATCATTTTAAATGTTCTATTGATTAGTTTAATGATATAGGTTTGAAAAAGATGGATGGGAATGGTCTTACAAACTCTATGAAAAAGCTAATTTATTACCAATCGATGTATTTATACGAATGAAACAAGTAGAAGATCTGTATAAGCGTGTATGTAAAAACTGAATTTATTTTAATCTAAATATTGATAACATTATCTAAATTATAATTTATTATTTTCAGGTGAAACGTATAGTGAACACTACCTCAGCAATAAAATTTTACATTCGTTCATGGATTCATGATCATGGGGAACAAGTTGATTTAAAAACATTAATGTACGGGATAAAAATGGCGGAAAAAAGTTGTGATTTATTGTATGTTGCTGAACTTGTTCTAGCAGAAGAATCCATTAGAAAATTACCTCTTAACAATGCCATTAAACATATTAAAGACAATTTAGAAGCCAGGTACCTAACACATATTTTCACTATTATTGTATCATATTCCTGTATTTAAAAATAATTCCTTGATTGTATTTATATGACCTTAAAATAATTTTTTTTATCGGTCTTACATACATCTTTGTAATAATAATATTACAATTTAGATTCTAAGCGGAGTAAGGAATGTATTAGTTTTACAATAATGTTTATTTGTTGTTTTTTACATATAATGTGTACAAAAATTCTACCAAAAATCTTACTCTGATAAATCAAGTGTAGCATTTTTTCTGAAAGATAATTTTATCTAGTTAGTACTTTAAGAATGTCATTTTATGATTTTCCAAGCAATTTTCATAATAATTAGGAAAAACTTAGAAAAACCGGGATAATTTATAAAATGTATTATATTCAATTTATTTTTGTTGTGATTTAGTTCAATATATCTGTAGAGCCTTGAAATTTGATCAGAGAACTTTTATTTGTCTTTTCTAGACATTTTAATTTTGCAAGTTTTTTTACATAATTTTTATTCAATAGGCACTCGATAGATAAAATTTTAAGACCAACCAGAAATGCTTGACAATTTAACAAGTTCATTATAAATTTTACTTAGTGATCAATAAGAAAAAGTTGAGTTTAAATTTATTTTTTTTTTTAAGAATTTTAATATAAAACTTTGATGTAAATATTACAGCCTTAAAATATAGATAACCAAATTTTGCTCAGAATTGTTTTTCGTTAGAAATTAATTAATAATTAATTATTGCATACAGATGTACACTAAATTTTCCCTCTACCTTTCCAATTTCTCATCTACAACAGTGGCCATAAGATTAAGTACATAAGATTCTATTTATTTGTTTTCCTAATCATAGTTATAAAGTGAATGACTTAGTTTTTGACCCAAGTGAAATAAGTTTTACTAATTATATTTGAATACAAATGTCTTCTTAAAAACAAATGTTGAATGTATTGGTTTATTAAAATTGATGTTTTTAAAATACTAATATTAATATAGAGCAGAATGAATTATATTATTTACATTTTAGTATTTTACTCTCATTTCTTATATTAAAATTTATATTGCATTTGTTGTCTTAGTTATGAATGGAAAGGAGCTTTGACATTTGCATTGCTGTTCTTATACTCAGTTTCTAATATTGAAACCAAGGATGTCTCAGATATATACAATGAAGGGGATGAAGTTTCAAATAAATCATTTGTTCAATTTTGCATAACCTATTCTAATTTATTAATAGAGCAAGTAAGTATAGTTTTCTTATTTCAATTATAGTGTACAAACATTTTAATTAATTTTCTCTTGAATAAACTATCATATAAATATGATAATCAATGTAATTTTAGGATTCTTCATTTTCTGACTTTTCACTAATCTTGATGCAAGAAGCTCCTATTTTAATTGCTCATGGTTTCGCTGAAATTGTTTCTTCTAGTCAATCTATAAAACTGCGTAAAGTCATTCAAGCATTTCAAAAATATATTGGATCTCATATGTACTCTACAAATGTAACAGAAGTCTTTAAACGATTTCTCGAATTACATTTCTCACGGTCTTACAAACATGATAAAAAACCAGATCTCAACAAGAAATATGTTTGTGATGCTATTAAGGTGACACAATTATATAATTTTTTTGTGACTTTTATATATTAATTATTATATTTGTTTGATTTTTCCAGATTTTATTTCGACAATATTTGACAGATCTTACTAGGCCAACCACAGAAAATTGTGTGCAAACTAACTCAAGGGACTGGAAAAATATCTATAATTCACAAATTCCTAGTTACATACAAATGTTACCATGTTATAATAGCAACAATGAAAATCTGATAAAACTACAGAGTTTGTTTTACACCAACTGGCTTACCAAAGATTTTATTGAAGATATAAAACAATTCTTGCCATTATTAAACAAACCTCCTTTAAGCTTAGAGATTATGGCCTTGGCAAACACTATGAAAACAATTGAAATACTTGTAGAAAAGTGTCCTCAAGCCGTTCTTAAATATTCAATGGTTAATTTTTTTTTTATTTTACATACACACTATACTTTTGTCTTATGGTATTTATGGTTTTACTTTTAGGATTGTTTAAAGTCTACATCTGAATGGAAACATTTAATACATTTATTAGAAAAAAAAACAAAATCAGATGTTGATAATCAATCCAAGTACCATGAAGTGTTACACGGTAAAGACAATATTAGACACACATTATTTTTGTTTATGGTTTTTTCGTATAATTTTAAATGTATGTGTTTTCAGATATGCTAGAGTTTTTATCACATACTATGTGCGTTGAGGAGTTCTGTAGTGTTATCCCTGTTGAAAGTTCAAAAACTATAAGTCCCAACGAATATCAACCATATATTATTACTTGTCAAAAGATTAATCAAGCTGATCAAATCAAGTCAATGGTTATGGCCACTGGTCAACAACTTTTAGCTTCTCTTAATTTCAAATAAATTTCTTAGAAAAATATTACCTTTTTGAATTTTTTAAATGCTTTGGTTCACAAACTTATAATGTATGAATCACTGTGCATTTGTTAGTGTTTCTAATTAACAATCATAAAACACATGCATCTATTAAACTGTTATTGATTTTCATGTTGTAAATGTTTTATATAATTAGTTTTCATAAGACAGTGGCTAGTTTATCAATAACTATTGACCTAATGTTAAAATGTGCTGTACCTTCTTTTAGTACTTAAATATGAAATCAAAATCTATGTTAACAAAGCACTTAAAAAGTACAATTTTGTAATATTAAATATTTTATTTAAAATCTGTGGCCATAAATTTACCTATGCTAAAAAATTTAAATCTATTTTTACATTGATATCAATTTTTTGCTTTGTTAACTTTAAATTTAATTATTGTTATGCTTAGTATGCGTTTAAACCACAGCTATAAGTATGAGTAATCTATAATTATATCTGTAGCTGTGGTTTAAAGAGAAACTATTTATTTATAGCATAAAATTAAATTATTTTTGTTATTTTATTTATATTTTTAATATTGTATTTTTTGTTAATATTGAATTGAAAATAAACACTTATCAAAATTATAACATTTCTTACTACTTGCCATGAAGACTAGAATTTCTAGTCTTTTCACTATTTACATATTAAATATCCATTAGAATATTTTAGCAAGTAATGTGTTGGTTTTACAATGATGTTTATTTTCTTTTCTTGTAGACAACTTTTCTACCAATAATTTTGCTCCGATTTATAATTAAAATACTTTTTCTGAAAGGAAACCTAATTTGGGGGGGGGGGTCTTCAGGAAGTCAATTTATAATTTTTCCAGCTGTTTTCATAATAAATAAAAAAACACCATTCCAATTTCCCACCTACAACAGTCGCCCACTCACATGCAAAGTATGTCTGTCTTTTTTACCTCACAGAGCTGAGAGCACATAAAGTTAACAAGTCAGGGACGTATCTAGAGAAGGGGGGCGAACCGTGGCCTGGAAGTCTTGGTCAGGAAGCGCCAAATTACCAAATAATAAGTGGATATATTAACATTTTTTATTCATTCATAGAAACGTTTTATTGGAATCGTACAGAAATTGTTTAATTTTTTTCTAGTTACATCCAAAGATAGGATATTTTAATGGACAACCTTCATTTATCTTTAAAGGTTTTTAGTATTACAAGGTGGCCTTCAAACCAGAAATCAGTCAGAGCATTAAACTTACAATTGTCTGATGTCAATATGTCATTTAAGTGTTTGGTTTATTAAATTGAGAAGCATTATCTGCTGAAGCTAAATTTGATGCTAAATTTTGTTAAAAGCAATAAATACAATTTCATTTATATGTATTTCAACAGCATGGGACAAAATTCTTAGTACAATCGAGTAAAAATTTTCAAAATATTCTGGTGTTTTGAATTACTTATAAGTTACAACTATTTTAATTGTTCTAACTGTTTTTGTTTTCATTTGGTTTATAAGAATAAAAATATAATTTATATCAAGTTCTCATGAATCTATTTAAAATTTGTTAAAAATTCAACAAATTTTAATTTATTTTGTAGTTACAATTTAGTATAAATTAATATTTCCGCCTGTGACCCTGAGCTAAAGAGATAAAAAATTAATTTTTTTACTAATTATTCAACGATTTATTAACATAAAATATTATGTTCAAGCATACTAACATCCCATTAATGTCCTAAAAAAGACTCATTTTGTAGTTCATATTGATTCTCTATCCCTACCCACTCCCAAGATTCCAATAGAACTTTCATTGGAGTTCTAAAACGTAATTCCATCATATTATAGATTTTTCACTCTTATTAAGTGCTTATTACACTCGTTTTACCATTATGAGACTTCTGTGGAAGTTTATTGAGTATATCACTCAATAGACTCCTCTTTGAAGCCATAGGGGACTTTTTCTGGTTATCATTGGGTTTTTGAATGGATGCACTTTGAGAGTCACTACAATACTGTTTTAGACTTTTATTTAAGTCCACTCAAAATCTTAGTGCTATTAAGGTCATTGACGTGTCCAGAAATTTGCAATGCTAGGGGACGTAGTAAATAATAATCACTATTTCATAGTATAAATCATAAAATCTTTTTCTGAACTGTTGGTCGGTAGATGGGACATTGGGAAGGTAGGACACATAAAGATATTTAATTTATATCTTTAATATAAAAAAAAAATACATAATAATAAAACGTTTTAAATCCATTTAAAATATAGCCGCTGGATAACTCCTTTTATTAAATAAAAGGATTAAAATTCATGCCAATTATTACTATCATAGTACATATTCTTATTGTAAAATTAGTTTATAGGTTGCATATTTAGAAAAATATATATATATATATATATATACGCAAAGATAAATAATTGCTAACGAAAAACGATTTGGAGCGAAGTTCGGTAAGGCATATATTATTTTGAAACGCTGTAATTTTTAAGATTTTCGTAAAAATTTAATTATAAAAAAAAAATTACTATATCAAGCTCAGCTTTTTTTTTAACCTCGAATTAAAATGTTCTAACATTTGTGCTCAATCAAACTATTTCATCTACATAAGAACTACAAAATAAAAATTAGGTACATAACAAAACTCGCAAATATATAATACCTATAAACAGCTCAAACAATTTACCACGTACTTACTATAAAGAGCTAATATAAGTAGGTACCTATTCTTATAAAACCTCAAGTCTCTAAGAATATTTTTATCTGAATTACAATAACAATGTAAAATAATGAAACCATGATTATCGTAAGCTTCCAAATTATTTCTATACTTTTTCCCAGTTTTGCTCAATTATTAAGTTAATTGACCAAATTGAAGCAGGTACCTAATTATGAACTACACGGAAAATTAAAAACCAATTTCCTTTTTTGGTTTGGTTTTTTTTAATTTTACGTTTATAATTTCAAGATAAACTTACTAACTAATTACTCATATTTGTTGTATTTCTAAATCAATAGAATGAGGCTATTATAATCCTTATCTCCTCACCCCCCAAGCACACACAACGGGTTGAAGTAAATATATAAAAACCGTACCGGCGTTTAACTACAGTGCATAATTATGATTTTATTGCAATTATTGCACTACTGCAGTATCGTCTTACTGAATACTTCGATAAAAATTATTATTATCAAACATTTTTTATCATATTCCACTTATTTCTTTTGCTACGAAAATAAACAATAGGTACATACTACCTACGCAAGAACATAAGACTAATTAAAGAACCTAAAAGGAAAATTCGTGAAAACAGCGAACGCGATCAGCAAAGTCACGAACCGGACGGCAATCGTACGGGAAATCCGAAACATAATAGCTCAGAAAATGACGTTATAGTTTCACAATACGTGACAAATTCGCTTGAATTCATATAATAATAATTATTGCTGTTGAATCGAAATCACTCAAATATAAATATACCTAAGTACCTACTAAAACCTAACTTACTAGACTAAAACTAGACTAGCAATAAATTTATAGATGCTGGCAGCGAGAAAGTAGGAAATCTAGACGCTGATAATAAATGATAGTTACGGGTTTGTGGTGCGCATATTGCATAAGACGGTTAATTGGAAAATTATTACGAAAAGACACCGGACAGTTAGGATTATGGAATGGGACAGATGGGTGTGTGAAGCGAGGAGGGACATAAGAAAGGAAGGAAATTAGTGATACTAGGCGAATCAGTTTTAATCAAGATATTTGATTGGAAAGAGAGATTCTGCGATCGGCGAGACTACAGACATATTAAAGAAACTTTGAGCAGGAGAATAAATTCGGGAAGGGTCAGGGATATTAAGTCTGGAAGCGATTGCACAAGTAGAAAAGTCCCAGAAGACGTTTCCCGTATTCGATAGTAATTTTGATCGCGGATAATTTATTATATTTTAAGTAGACTATGGCTCTATAATAGCAGTGGGTTTTATACATTATTGCAACGTTTAATTTTTAAGGGAGAATATAAAATTATTCGGTAGTAGTGTCGACAAAAATTAAAATTACGAATTATTTGTCTTTCTTTTTTTTTAATTTTTTACAATTTGTATTATCGCATACAAACGAATAAATTTGCGGCACATTATTTCGTTTTTCTAAACATATCACCGGATAATGTAAATGTAATAAGGTTAGGTACTCACCGAAACCGCATGCGATGTGTTTTGGTAATGACAATACATTTTCGCACACTGTGTTCTATACTAATTGAACACGATTTACAATTTTTCTATATAGTTAAACGACTTAAACAGAAACAAAATTAAAAACGTCGTATAGAATATTAGAATATGAAATATTTAAGCGCGGACGCCGAAGGCCGAATTCCCATACAATATTTTTCCGACGAACTTTCCGAGCTTTCGTCACGGTGACCGTCGGCGGTAACAATGGTACAAGCCGTCAGTCTGGCCAACGTTCGCGACGCGTTTACGTCTATTTATACGATATTATTACGGTGAGTTTCTAAAGTCCGTTTTTCCAATTGGCTTTAATACCGTTATTGTCGTGGTACGGCTGCATAATGTTATACAGTCACGGTGCCACCGCGGTCCGATTTCCAGGAGATTTTTCGGCCGTCGCGATGACCACGTCGACGTCAATACCGACGTTTTAATTACGGCAATACTCAGTATCGTTTCTGAGCGGAATAGATAATATTTTCAACTGAAAACACCGTTGCCCGTTAAATAATGTCTTTTGTGTGCGCGTGCCGAATCCGCCGTCGTCAATATGGTGTGTCTTGTGCTGTGTCTTGGTGTGTCTGTGCGCGCTGAACGAGTCGCGCCGCCCGACTACGATGGTTTTCGCCCGCGAACCGAACGCCGACCGTCTCTCGGACTGAACAACCCGAGTGTACAAGGCGACGACGATTAACAAAATTTAACGCGAAAAACCGTTGCCGCATTTCGAATAATCGCCCGCGTTATCACGGAAATGGCGTTTTAATTTCGGTTTACGAGAACACGGCGCACAATACACCCGGTATTATAATTATTGCAGTGCCGCGGCGACAATCGTTCGATAACGACGGCGACGCCAAATTGAAAAATACAAGTACAAAACGTCGTCGCGGTGATGGTGAGTACTTATCAGTTTATCAATTATATTAACGGGGTTATATTAAGTCGACCGTTTTCTAAGGAGCCAGAATCGGGCGACTTGTGTGGTGGCGGGCAGGCCCAACGAAAGGATGGAGGGGAGTGGTCGGAGGTGAACCATGGTTTTTCACGGGGGTCCGGTATGTGAACCGAAATAGCAAAGAAAAAATACAAAAATACTTAAATGTTTACGGAATTTTGAAAAATCCGGACCCCCACGAGCATCCCGTGAAACCCTTGTGCAAAATCATTGAATTATTTGGATTTTCGAACAAAAGACTGTGACCTGTTATCTTACATCACGTACACAGTAGGTACGCTGGGTGTTTCAAATAAATAATGATATTATAAAGCATGTAGGTACTTATAAAGGCTATATTTATAACACGTAGTACGTACCACAGTGTTCGTAGCACGTAATGCATCGTGGATCGGCTAGGTGAGATAACAAACGTCGGAGGACGGTGCTGCAGTGCATTTGATATATTTTATATTTTGTTTTGTTTTGTCGCGACACGTAGTTAAATAAAATTATGATTTTAAATAATCGCATGTTTTAATTTTTAATTGGAAATATTGAACATGTATGTAAAATATGGGACAAAATATGGGGGAGGCCTGTATGTCACTTATCCCCGGGCCCCAATTATGTCTCCACGGCCCTGGTGGCAGGTAAACATACGGATCGTATCACTGAGTGAACATTAGTGTGTGCGGTTTTTCATAGGAAGCCGATTTTTCGATTTAATATCGGCGTGTATACAAAATGAAGATAAAATGTAAATGTAATTATATAACGGAATTTTCAAGAATTAATTTTGGAAGTCTTCAGAACTGAAAATGTACGCTACCTGCTTCTTAAGTAAAATATGTCAACGAACCCGAACATACTCAAAAATGTCGGACATTTTGAAGTATGTCTAATTGTATTGGTCTAAACCGTATGGAAAATTTACCGACTAGAATCATATTAATCAAAATAATAACTAAAATTACTGAGGTTTTATACGTTCTCTGTAGGCGTCGCAGTGTTTGATAAATATATTGTACTAAGTATACCGGGTGATATTTTCATCATTATTATTTATCATTGAACACATTATTTCGAAAAATATTGACTATTTTTTTGTTTATATTTTTTTTTTTAAAATTTAAGAAATAAATAATCGTAAAATTTTACATTATCATTTTTTTTTTTTTTTTATCACTTATTTTTGTGGGTGAAATGACTACTTACTTTTTTAAATCGCAACCTATATTGAAAATGGCTTATATAGATATTGAGTATTAGTTAAAATAAATTTTGGTGTTGGAATTTTTGATTTCCGTCAATCCATTATTAACGAGATATACCAATTTTAAGTATTGGTCGGAGGAGAGTAGTGGTGTATTATTGAAACGCCGCGTGCCGTGCCGCCACACAAATGATGCTCCACTACTCTCCCCCGACCCAAATTTAAAAGTTGAATAAACGGATTGACGGAATTTAAAAATGTAATTTATAAAACATAGGTCTCTATTGATTTCTGGCCGGTTATCCTTTGACTATACGGGTCAAAATATCACAAAAAATACTACTTCGCTCATAACAGGTTTTCTTTTTTACAATGGTTTATCGTTGCACACAGTGTACAGTAATCCAAACGAAATCGGGGAAAAGGCTCGTTCATGCAGCTTCCTTAAAAAATAATTTTTATTAGTAATTGAAAAAGACAATAAATACAATTAAATACCCAATTATAATTATTATATTTAAAATATATGTAATTCATTTAAAATATCGAATTATTATTTTTTTAAACACTGGTTCTTATATTATGCTCCTATTTTACTGACAAAGTGATAAATATAATCGACGTATTCTATCACATATAAACAACGATGTACTCGTGCGATATATTTATCGTGATTGTTTTAATTTTTATTATTACCGAAAAATACGTTTAAACATAGTGATGCGATAATTCTCAAGCCCATTTGGATTACCGCGTCTTTTGGATTAACCCGTGTTCAGATTAACGAGACACGACTGTATACATTACCCTGTTTAATATATAACCCACTTTCCCAATTACCCACCTACAACAGTGGCCTATCCGTCAGCGGTAAAAACTTTTTTTTTATAATATTTTAATTTATTTATAATGATAGTTAATGACGACCAAATGGGATCAATTTTTTAAATTTTTCTATTACATTATTATCAACGTCAAAGGTTTTAGCCATTGCTTGTTTCACAAAAGACAACACGAGTTCATTTAAATGATCTTGCTTCATAGTTGTCGATTTTATTTTGCTAATGGGTATTTTTAATTTATTTAGTAAATTTTGCAATTTTTAATAAAAAAAATAAGATCTTCTTTGCGTTGACCACAGACATTGTAATAAAGCTGTACGAATATTATTTCCGTGCTCGACTTTCTAGCTGTACACTTAATATTATTCTGCGGTCTTCACTTTCTTCGCTTATTTTCAATGTTCGACCGTCATCAGTTTTTACCGAAAAACGGTAGCGAGTAGACGTAGTCTGCCTAAGTATCTATACTTCCGTAAAGCACGATTTTTGCCGTTGTGTCGTCAGAGTTTATCTTTTAGATTCGGGGTGTAGCGAGAAATGTATTTGTTTTACGATGATGTTTATTTTTATTTATTTTTTTTATCTATCTGTGAACAACTTTTCTACCAGAAATCTTGTTCCGATTTTCAAGTCTACCATCTTTTATGAAAAGAAATTTTATTTGGGTGATACTTTAGGGAGGTCATTTTTCCAAGTAGTTTTTATAATAATTAGGAAAAATGTAAAAAAAAAACCGAAAAAATGTACGTACGTGTATAATATAAAATTCATTCTGAATCATTTTTCTTTAGTAATGATTTATTGTGCGTACAGATTATATTGAATTCCCTTCTTTATCCTACCGCCCCAACTCCTCACCTAATGACACCTAAACTATACTCCGAGTGTAGCAGTTGCTGTATACGTCATATTTTGAGTGGGTAGGTGTTCACGGTAATTGGGATTTGGAATAGTCTGTCATAATGATGGGTTTAAACATTAAAAAGTTATACTTTTTAGTTTTTAAGTAGTAAAATATAAATTAGATACAAAAGTTGTTGAAGTGGATGGTAGTTTTGAATTTCAAATTCTGCTAAAAATATAGTTCTAGTGCCATTGTTCTCTCCTACAACAGTGGCCCACTCATCGTGTGAAGTACATCCGTCTTTTTTTTTTGGTATTTTATACGGCAAAAGTATCGATAATAACTTATAAAGATTTAATGAATTTAATGTCATCGTCGTTTGAGGGAGAAACAGTGAAAAACCGTTTGCGTTGGTAAGTGCGTATCATTATACGCAATGGTATATAATATACCTATCACTATACCTAGTGACATTTAAACTAAACCGAAATGGTGGGCTGCAGTGTTCTATAATAATAAAAATAATAAGAATGTAGGGCATGTAAGTATAGTTGTCCAAACGTAAGTACATTGCAACAGCTAGTTTCTATTATTTTATTATAGTCGACCGGGATAAGTATGTTTTTCGTTTTAAAAAGGTCTTTCGTCGAGCAACACGCTATAATATATCTCATTACGGGTCTCACCTGTTTCCATTTACAAATTTATTTATACTCTGGCGTCCTTTCGGCAACGGCCGTTACAGTATTCTGCCCATATACGTTAGGAACGTTCCACTCAACGAGCGAGGTGAGTTCCCAGTTTCGAAAAGTATTTTTAACAATAAACTATAGTTCCATTTACAATTAAATACTACTCATATTATAATTTATAACATTAGGTATAATTCGAGGTGTATTTGTAAAATATTGGCTAGTATGAATGTGTATTTAATTCTAGTATTTAAATGAATGACGATAATATGACGAATTTATATACAAACTAGTTGTCCTGCCCGGCGTTTTCAGTGCCAAATAAATGTGTAATAAAAAATATTTTTCCCTAGATTTCTTATTTCAATCTCCGTCACTATCACTGCAGTTAACCGTTGTCCTTCAATGTTCAAAAATGCATTTTCTTTATTTTTATTTTCAAACTTATATAAATTAGTTATATGGTTGCTAAGCAATGAAAAATATCTGATATATTTAATTTGTTTTATCCAACCCAAACTACTGCAGGTTAGGTCGTCTACTACTTCCACTAATCAGGCCGATGTTTTAAACAGCTTAAAACCTTCTCCACTGTATACTGTATCATTAAGAAAAAAAATATTTAACGATTAGATAAGAAGTTTCGGAAATTACCTTCTGACATCGAAATGACACATTAATATTTTTATTTTTATATTCCTTTTTTAATCTTGTTTTACGTTACTCGTAATGCCTTTTTCTTTCATGCTTCAGATGATCGACCAATCGATTTCCGTCTAGGGGGCATAACTGTCGACGATTCAGTATTCGAAAGATTAAAGAAGATATATATGTTGTATGTATTTCTATATATGCGTATATGTCTTATAAGATCGTAAGTTTTACGTATTTCTAATATCACCCATGAACTAAAGTGTAAACAATATTGATTTCTTCGTCGGCAATTCAAATTAAACATTTTCTCTAGAAGAACGACAAAAAAAAGTACGTAGTTACCTATGTACTCATTTATAGAATACATACCATAGACATAATAAGAATTTGCTCATGACAACCCAGTTAATTAATAATATTTGTTTTTTCATCCGTGTTACCAAGGTAACCCATAAATTAAAACAATTATTTTATCGTACTAAAAGTATCCGGTTTTTATGGGTGATAGTGGGGCTATCGAAGAACTGCATAGATATAATAATTTTTACTTTTTACATGTATACAAAAGATAAACATAATATAAAGATTAAGAATAATAATAACAATAATGCTACGAATAACATATCTCCATATAAACTAAATCAACAACCGTAACCATGTACTGGTAACTACAGGTGGACATGACGGGAGTATTAGATGTTTACACTTTGTTGAAAAGCCTAAATTGAGGACGATTATTCCTGACTCAACGATTTTATTAGTGGATTTTATATTAATTTGATTTCCGTTCATTCTCATCACTATGGAATTATTTATTAAAGATTTTCAAATAAAACCATCGATTTGAAACATAAATTCGAAATTATGTTTATATGTATAACACTAAAATCGAATATACACTTGGCGTCACAAAAATCGCACATCTTTAAAATTAAGTTTCAAACGGGCATTTCCCCGAACCAAAACATTTAATCCAAACAATAAAGATATAAATTGAAAGTACAGTTAATGACCTCTTATCCGATAGTAGTTTCATTTCATAAACAATAATCATATTCCGAGTATACGGTGCATTAGGAAAATGTATAAATATACTCCTATCTTATCTTATATTCTTTGGCTATAGAAAAATCAGTTTAAAGTGTCAAATGCAGGTCATTCACTTCCTAAACATTGAAAAGGACGTACGTGAATACTCTTTAAACAATATTATTTCAAAAAATAACGTATTAAATGGATACAACTGCTAACGAAGCCGCTCAAGTGGTAGCATTAATGGAATCAGGGATGCATCAATGTGATGTTGCACGGCAACTAAACTTGAGCCGTTTTGCCGTTCGACGAGTTTTCCAACGTTATCAAGAGACTGGTGGCTTTATCCGGAGGCATGGATCAGGCCGNCCAGCGAGAAGTCCAGACCTAAACCCAATTGAGCACCTCTGGGACGAATTAAAACGAAGAGTGCGGTCACATGATCCTGCCCCAACAACCCTCCAAGATCTTCAATATGCTGTTGTTGCGGAATGGGTGAACATTCCTCAAGAACGCATCGTACGACTCATAACTTCTATGAAAGATCGTATGGAAGCAGTAATTAAGGCAAGAGGAAGTAGCACTAGATTTTAAATAACATTTAGTAACAGTTTTTTATTTTTATATGAAGTCTATTGTCTGTTTCTGTTTGTAAAACTGTATATCCTCAATACAATTTGTTTTCCTCTTCCACGATTAACTTATTTTTTAAAACACTGATAAACAAAAACACATACCATTTATTTATTTTTCAAGTTTATTTCATCACCTTTCAAATGATATATCATAACAGTACCCTTATATATGATTAAGTGTAGTTAAAATTACTTTGAAAAATAATTTGCAATAGGTGCGATTTTTGTGACGCCAAGTGTATATCGTTTATGAGTTATAATAGTTTAAAATTTATACCAGACGATCGAAAAAGGGTAATACATGACATATCTATTTTAGTATGATATTAATAGCCCTTCCCTAATCCACCAGTCTGAATTTTAATAAACTCGTATAAAAACATAACTCATAGTTATAAATCCAATATTAATCATATGATGTATATCAATATTTTTAGAAAAATATTCTCTTTTTTATTTGGTTTGAAAAGCTATTTGAAAATCAAAATGTGATTGTTATTTTGCCGTACAAATTTCCGGGACGCATTGTACTTGAAACGCTGGTTTTGCTATACTACCGAGCCGAGTAGATAAGGCTAGAATTTGCTTTAAATGTTTACCGTGCTATTGCCAACAAGAGGATTGGTCTCGCTGATTCATCCAATAATCTTTTCTTGGTCGTTTCTCGTCTCATTATAGAAGTCCACCATTACCAGCGCCTTCTTTCCCAGCCTGTAAGCGTTGTTTTTAATGCTCATTTGTCTGTGTTATATGGTCATTTTTCTCCGATGTCTTCATATCTCTAAAGCTATGGTCCAAATTCAAGTCATGCATTTTATGGTTGGGGTCTTTGGCTGATAACGGCAGCTAGGAAGTGATGCTACTACTCTCAGGCCGATGGCTGAGATACTACTCTCGGCCATCGGCCTGAAAGTATCAATCCTCCTATAGCAGTAACTTTGCTTTTTAAAAACTCTCTATTTTTGATTTTTGAGGTAAATTTTAGCCTACCTTTTTTTAATTTAACCAACCGCCTCCAGAGAAGCTTACAGTATCCTTCTGTTCAGTCAGATCTGGAATTGCTATGTGACCGATTGCCCAACCGGCAACCACATGGGGTTCGTTTATCAGTTTTGAATAGGTTTACGGTGTCCTTTTAGGATTTTAGCTAGTTTCTTTCCGACTCAAAGAGGTGTTTTAAGCGTCCATGCACTAGCATGGAACGTACGGTTTAACGATTCGCCTTGTCGGGCCGTTGTTTGAGTTAGCAGGAACGGACTTGTCCTGACGCGCACAACAGTTGAGATAGTGTGGACATCTCTGTTGTAAACCTATGCCCCACGTTTCTCCCCGACTAAGGAGGTGTTAAAAGCGTCTGGACAATACCCTTTGGCTTCATATTAGTCTCATTCCTGATTTCCAGAAAACCGAAACCCAGATCAAATTAAACGATCTCTCCACGCCAAGGTTTGCTGCGTAACAGCCGAAAGCGTAGCCCTATCAAACTTAACTATACTATAATATAGTTGTTCAATGAAAAAAATAATCCCTTTTAGAATTTTTCAAAGTGTAGGTGCTGTAGTTTCGATATCATCTGTCTCTTATATTTAACTGCCTAATTTTAAAATGTAACTATTATATTTGCTATGTTGTTTTAAATTTGGCATGCATCTTAGCTGAGGTAAGTGAATGTGATTATATAAATTAATTTTAAGGTAAAAACAATTTACAAGTGATTGTGATTTTACTCAAACATTTAAACAATAAAATACGTAAATATTTTTTCTCTGACATGTAAAATATTAAAATTGTTAAGTTTGAACATTATTTTGTGTTTTTTTTTTTTTAATTTTAGTTGAATTTCCAGTCAAATAGATTAACTAGGTAATTACATTAGTACATAAATAATTTTTTGTCCATATTTAAAATTCAAATATTTTATACTGCAAGGTTCGTCTTAATATTATGTTCTTATAGTGGCAGGTAAAAAGAGCAATGTTGTGATGTGTATAATGAATGTTGCAATTTTTTTTTTGAGCGTATTTATTATATTGATGGTCCTTATGACCTTACATTACACTATTGCCTATTTATATTGTATAAAAAATTCTAACAGTGTCGCTCGCTCGTTTTCGCCATGATCGGACGTTTTCACATTTTTTACGGTCAAGCTTTTTTATAGGTATCTATTACGTGTATCGTAGGTATTTTCGCGTGCTGGACAGTTTTATATTATTCCATTTCACTTCAAAATCACGCGATTTTTCCGGACTCGTTTTTGTAACCGAATATTATTATCCCTTCTTATACGTAAATACATGTATAGGTATAAAACATTTTATAATTTATATATTATGCTAATGTATAAATAAATATTAAATTTTATTAGAAGTTTATAAGTAGGTATTTTAATCGATAAAAGCTAAAATTAAATTTACTATTTATTATTGTCATTTTGTATTATTGTATTAGTTACCTATACATTAATAAAATTGTATACAATGTGTGAATACAGAATGATTCAATCAACTGGAAACATTCTTTATCTTGGAAAGAATTAACTTTTTCGAATTTTTTTTTTTTAAACTAAATAGTTAATACAATTTTACATTATCATTTTTTGACACCCTTATTTTTGGGGGGGAAACGACTACGCTTACTTTTGATTTTTAAAACGGCAACCTATATTTAAAATGCCTTAAATAATTGAAGTATTAGTTAAAATAAATTTTAGTGTTGAAATTTCCGTTAACCCATTTATGAGATATTCCTCTTTTAAGTTTAGGTAAGAAAAAAGTAGTGGAGTATCATTTGTGTAACGGTACGGAGCGGCGCACGGTGTTTGGACGGTACTCCACTAATTTCCCCCCGCCTACGTAGTCTGTAATAAATTGATGTATATTGTAAAATAAAATATTAATATAAAGAAATATTTGGATAAAAACTTCAATAGCCTTTATATTATTATAGACTGAAATGTGTTTCATTAATCGGGTGATCACATAATATGAATATTTGATGATTGGTGCTTGACTCTGAAATTTAAACAAAATAACTAAATTAAAACAAATCACGTCTAAATATTTAAAATTTTAAGAAACTAAGAAAAATATGAAATATCGAAAACCGATAAAAATAAACTAAAACAAAAATAGGCCAAATTCATGATTGATGATGCGGGGGATTTTATTGCGCTATGATACCTAGAAATTAATACTACTATGATTGGCGGACTAGCAAATGTAAACATCCATTTTTCATTACGATCATTCATGCAATTTATCATCATCAATAATGATTTAAAAAAATATTACCCGATAAAACAATCAAAAAACGTTCAAACCGTGTATATATACTAAACGGAAAACGTTATATGATTTAGTAAAATATTAACAGTTAACGTTAACATTAATTTACAGTTATAAATAGTTCATACATTTTTTATATTCATATAAAACGACGTTTTCTACCAGAAAAATCAGAAAACGCCTTTTTTGTTGCCTTTTGATTTACTTTTTTACAGTATTATCGCCAAAACTTTTGAGCCACTTTTGAAATTTTGATATTACTTTTGATATAAATACACATAGAGACTTGAAACTTGGTAATAATACTTACATTGGACTTACCTAGACGTAATGAAATTTCCAAAATCATCGGACGACTTTTTTTTTTTAATAAGCGTTTTTAAATTAAATTTAAATGAAAATCGCAAAAATAAAAATGATGGCACTTAAAATTATATATTACCGACCTGCTCACGAAATCGTCTTTCGTCAAGCAATAATTTATCGTTGCTTACAGATATAAATGAAATAACCTTATGTATCCTACCTTCCCAACTTCTTACCTACAACAGTGGCCGCTTCCATCCCCAGTATCAGCTCTTTTATTTTTATTTTTGATATTGATTATTTCGGAAAAACCTAATTCGCAGAGATAAGTAGTAGACAATTGTAATATTGTGTTTATTGTTTTTTCTGTAATAATTATCAGATACTCGATATAAGTTAAACTCCAAAAAGACGTCCTAAGATAATGAAGACGGAAGCAGCCACTTTTATAGGGAAATTTAATGTATACCTGTAAGCAACAATAAACCATTACTTACGAAAAAAAGGATTTCACTATGTAAAACATTTTTGGGAACCTCTGATCTAAGGGGTTGCGTATTATATAGCGAATTTTGACGAAACTGTAACAACTCAAAAATGTATTTTCAAGTATTCCCGTTATATTATAGTATTATACACATCATATCAGTGGCGTATTCAGGTTTTTTAATTTTCGAGAGGAGGTTGAATACGTTTTTGCTTGATCTATGGGAGTAGGTTAGATAGGTTTGTAGGGTTTAATACTTCCCCCCAAAAAAACGTTTAAAAAAGTATTGTGATGAATACTTAAAAAAAAATACAATTGAAATGAGAATGTAAGTATTAATATGTATAATATTGACATCACTGTATTACGACACTTCGATAGCTGCATCCACCTAGGAAAATTTTAAGAGTAAAGGCAGTAATTACATAATTTTGATTTTCTTTATTCACAATAGTTAATTTTAATAGCCTATACTCTGGTATATTGTTCCTCCTTAAATTCGTTTTCATACGGTTTGGTGTAGAAAACATTCTTTCAGTGGTAAAAAAAATAAATGGAAACGTAGTTAACACTTAAATCGTAAAATAGTCTCCTCAGCCTGCCCCCTTAGCTATGCCACAGTATACTGTGTCGACTAAAATGATTGTGGAAAATCTTCATACGGGAAAGAATCACTAAGACTCTCATTATATTATTTGTGGTACATACTTTTAAAAACAGACGTCAGCACGAGCGCTGCAAGGTTATTTACTTGAATCACTAAATCCCTCTCTTCTATAGCTATAGAATTTATTACTAAAATAATAATATACATCGCCTAAAAACCATAATTAATATTATTAGCTACAGAAAATTAAACAAGTTTTCCTCTAAAGAAAAGCGAGTATTTTCTTTACATTTTATTTTATAGTTTTTTTTCTATTTTGCGCACTTTGTATCGATATTATTTTCCGTTTAAAGAATATTGTTTTAGTTAGGTAGAGATAATTATCAATAATATATGAGTATATACTATCACCACAGGACAATAAGTCATTGCCATTATATATATCCAGGAAGGGAAAAGTTTTTCTTGCCTATAAATATTATACTCTTAACAACAGGGACAATCGCATTCTATATTTTTATTTACCTACTTCTGCTGAAAGTTTATTATTTAAAAAGTTATGAACTCCTTACAGCAGGGATTTTTTTAATGTGTCTACATTTTATTTTTTTTATGATTTATTACATACGAGTTCTTTTTGTTTTACCTAACATTATTAAAGGTTTATTCGGTAACCTAACTTATACACTGCAAAGTATTCAACATTTTAAGTTTTTTTTTAAAACCTGCATCTTGATCTTAAAGAATACATCCAGGGAAAAAAATTATCAATAATAACGTTTGAGATAATTTAAATGCCGTTGACCGATGCATAATAATTCAAGTATAGTGATTAAACTTCCTTTCATTCCTCAAATATTCAGAGTATAGATAAATTATTAATAATTTTCTTAGCTCACTATAAGTATCTACCTACCAAACAAGAGTAGTTCATATCCACGTCATGTAAAACTTGTCACTATATATGACAGGAGATTAATGAAGTAACTACTTACCTATCTGGTTTTTCCTACATCATTTAACGAACCAATATTGTGCTCTGTTATTAATTTAATTATTATTTATAAACGGTGTTTTGGTTTGGTTTTTCAAATCAGTTTTATTTTGTTACCAAAACCCTCGAATTTATAATTGATCTGATTGAAAAAGGCAATTTAAAATGTAAAAATAATTTCAATGTTACATATGATACTTACGACATACCTATAACGGCAAATACATGGAATGTTCAAAATCCTTTATATAGGTATAGTATTTAGAGATCAAAGTACCCTTTGCTTTTATATGCCACTTTAACTTAATGTATATAAACTAATGAATATTAATTCTTTAGTAATAAGACTAAATATTTGGAAATCATATCCTATTAGGATTACTAACATCAAAGTAAATTTACTTTCAAAAAAGTTTTTTTTCTGAACAAATTTCTTCAACTTATGAAATCTTCAATTTAAATTTTATCCTTCTTAACATTTGTATTGAAAAACGAAATTCACATTGTCCCTTTAATTTTGCATTTTGTTTTCCACCGTCACATATTAATTTTTGAATGACACAGTTGGCATTGAAGTAAATCAGTCAGCAAATTTACTCACATATATAAATCGGTATAAAATTGGCAGTTCATATTTATCCAATATCTACCTATACCTACTTACCCAAACTTAAATTACTACTCGAATCTGTATTTTCTTCAACAACGTTACGAATCATTTATTTTTCTTTACCAAAAACAATATCGCAATAACTTCTCCAATCGCTTAACTTTTTCAAATGCTCCGTGTCAGCCATGCTTTAGAATTTAGGGGTTGAATTTGTACCTCTGTACAAAATTTCAAGTCTGTAGCGATTTGGGCTGTTCGTTGATAGTTTTTTATTTTGTAGTATATTTTTAGATTATTCTATACAACCGCTCAATTTAACATCACTATTAAAATTTATATTATATTGAATAAATATTTATTAAAGATGTGATCAACTTGGAACAGTTTTCGATTCCTATTCCTCCCGGCTCACAGGGAACAATAATTATACAATGAAAACGCTAGCACCATCATCACTTTCACTATCTTCATATTGACTTTGACCTAGGTGTGTGTGTATATGTGATGTGTGTGTGTGTGTTATGTGGGTTTTGCAACTAAAAAAGTTAAACGATTTTGAGTTTGTTTACGTGTTCCCATTGCGGCTCCGTATTTAGTTTTTATTTTGATCATGATTTTTTGTGTTTACTCGAAAACGTATATATAGGTGTACCTACCTGCCTGCCTACATCGCGACAGTTTACGGCTGTCATTTGTCACTGGGAAGACCAAACTCCACTACAACATATATATATAAATTATTTTGCCGGAAAAAAACCTTTGCTTATACACTTGAGTTTCGACGTGATCCTTGGGCTGAGATAATGATAATCTAGTATACGCACGCTACTTGCATTCGTGTGTGACGGCAAAACACATAAGGTGTTCCTCGCACGCATCATGTTTCACCCCGGTTCTTGATAAATTGTTTGCTATAGAAATTTCAAATTATTATATAAGATAAAACTCGAAGTATTTGTATGACTTGAAGTAAAACTCGTAAGTGTAAACTTTAAGTAATTTATAACGTAATTTAATGCAAAATTTTTAGAAAAATATACTTATGTATTTTTTTGCTAGTTTATTTTAGTTTTATAAAATGTTATAATATGTGGTACCTACTACCTTATAATAGGTATACCTATTTATAATACTTAATTAACAGTAAACAGTTAACACTATACCAATAGCTAGTATCCAATTGAATTGGAATAAATTCAACGTTGGAAAAGTTCTTTAAAAAAGTAAATCGTTCCTGTTCTTCGTTCTTACAGCAAAAAAGTAACTCAAAGTATTCCCAAATTTGGGAATTTTATTAACAGCTGTAAACGAAATCAGACGTATGCATTAATTGAGGTATTAACATACATTTATGTTCGTGTATACGTTCGTTTGAACTTTGCGATAAGTCAGTGGAAATAAACATCAGCTTTACTATAATATGCGTAAAACACTGTTATCATGCGTATTATTACACAATTGTTGTTATCGCAGAGCAGTAGCGACTCGTGGGTTTTTAATGAAGTAGTGCACACCCAAAAAAAAAAAAAAAAAAAAAAAAANTTTACCAATTACCTTTTATTTTGTTTATATTTTTACCCGCAATAACAATAGTAAATACATAATAATAATAAAAATAAATAATACTAATACAAATAATAATATATAGGTAATACATTTACAAGTAAAAATTCTATAATTATTTGTATTAAATTATTATATTTCAGGTACATGTTTATATGTTAAATCGATTCTTCTATCTTTTTTTCTGCAAACCTGTTTATTACTTCTTCGTTGAAGTTTGAAATATTGTTGATCATCCGTTTTTTGATCGATAACATTGCTAGTGCTGTAAGTCGATCTTCCGTCATTGAATTTCTCAAAAATGTTTTAATACGTTTCACTGTAGAAAACGATTTCTCGGCTTCAGCTGTAGTCATTGGAACAGTTGAAATTATTTTTAAAAGTTTGTAGCTTTCAGAAAATACCAGTGTTAAATTATTTTCAATTATAAATTTCAATAAATGAACTGATGAATTCATATCACGAAAATCGGTTCTTTTGTAGAACAGTTGTAGTTCAGTTTTAAGTTTAATAACATCCAAAAAAGGATATGCTTCAACGGTTTTACTAAAATGGTCATTTGGGAAGTTATTTTCGTACATAGGAAATTTGGTGGATAAAAATAGGTGCGAAGCATTTAAGTGATTTTTATAATCAAAACGTTCTTTAACGTTGACAATAAAAATATCACATACTTCTTTTGCAGCGATTTTTCTTGTTTCAATAGTATCATCTTGTCTTCGTTTTTTCGTTGGATGATTTTGAGAGGTTTCAACGATGTTATCAATATTCTATCTTTCTTTTAATATATTTTCTTCGAACCGAAAAATTACCTTAGAAAGTTCTACAGGATCCATAGTTTGTTTTTGTAGTTGATTATATAAAATATTAACATGAGGCATTAAAGAATGAAATACTCTTAACCAAAATATAAATTTATCATCATTTAACATCCGATTCAAAGCTCCAACTTGATTAATTGCTATGGTTTAATTAAATGTTGATTCAATTTCTTTCATACATTCAATTAACGGCTCAAGATTCTCATACATAGTATTTACTATTTTACTTTTAAAATTCCATCTAGTATTAGATGATCGAGGAACTCTGTATTTAACAATTTTATCTAAAACCGTAACCCACTGTGGACTGTTTAAAAAAAAATTTGTTATATCAGTTAAGTTTGAAAAAAATATCCTTATCTCACGATTTTGTGAAGTTGCTTAAATTAAAATTAAATTAAGCTGATGAGCATAGCAATGTATGAAATGTGCATTTTTACAACTATTATTTATTATTTTTTGTACACCATTGAGACGTCCACTCATCACATTTGCCCCGTCGTAACTCTGACAAATCAACATATTTGTCGATTCTAGGACTTTTTCCAAGTTGAATATTATACATTCAGACAACGATTTCGCATCATGTCCAGTAGGATTGAAAAATCTCCAAAACCTTTCTACTGGTGTTCCATCCGATAGTAAATATCTAAATATTATTAACAATTGAAACTGAGCAATTACGTCAGTTGTTTCATCAGTCATTACAGAAATATATTCTGCTTGTTTTATTTCATTTTTAATTCTTTGTTGACATATAGCTAAACAACATTCTAGTAAATCATTTTGGATAAACCTTTAAATACCGAAGAGTTCTCAATATGACATTTTAGTACCGAATCTAACTCTGAACTAAAGTTTATAAGACCTCGAAATACGCCGGGATTTTCTGAATTTGATTTTTCATCGTGACCTCTGAGTGCAAGTTCAAATNCGATACGCACTAGAAAGTTGTTGTCTTATGTCTTGTTTTCCTAATAGTTTTAAATTTAATTGAAAATTTATGTGTGTCATTGATTTTTCGTGCGTTTTGATTTTAGAAGTTAAATTAATTAAATCGTTTATTCCATTCTTTACCCAAGCGACATCATTAGATTTTTGACCAAAAAGTAAACAGGGAAAACAATACAAACGATTAGTTTCTTAACAACCACAAATCCAGTCATAGGTTTTATATATATTATTATTAAATTTTTTTACATATTCTCTCGTTTTACATTTAATAATTTGTTTAATATTTAAGTCTGGAGTAGGCCTATCTTTATTTTTTATTTCCATATTTTTCTCCAACGAGATTGTTGAAAAATTGCATTGCAGTATTTTCTGTACTGAGTTCATTTTAAAAATTGAAAACAAATACACGAATAATAATAAACGTAATGTCGGTCGTCAATAGAAAACAGAAACACGATTGTTGTTTTGAATTTTCGATAATGATTGGCTAGCCAATATTATCAGCTGATAATCGGAATATAATAGATGAATGAGAGTAAAAATAAACTATGATGTTGACGCGCAACGACACGGCAACGTCGAAAATAATTCGCTGATAACAATTTAATTGGTTTTGTGCACAGAAACAAATGTGCACACCAATTCCATTATAACGCGGGTTGTGTGTTTCGACTTGTTTTAATTTTTACACTGTACAAATGTGCACAACGATTGTGTGCACAACCCCACCACTATAATACATACTGATACTGTTCCGTCGCGGACAACAGTCCGGCTGTTTGGCAATCGAAATAACGCAAACCAAATATTATATTATTTTCATAATATTCTGAATTTATAATTTTATATTTTGAAAAATAATCTTAATAATACTACAGGTACTTAGTAGTTAGTTGTATTATTTTGATTTATGTTTTCAATTTTTCTTGAGTTTGGGTAGGTTTGTATACAGTATACTCATATACACGAGCCGCCACTGTCGCAGAGTGTATTTCCCCATTACCGATAGTCAACAGCTGATGGCAGAGTTTTTCTAGAAACTATTATTCGCCGTTAGCCGTCGATATATTTGTAGCAGCCAGTTTATCATTCCGTCATAATATATAAGTGTATTTATGTAAAAGTAGACGGGTAGTTACTATATATTGAATCGCAGCGCCTCCGTAATAATATATAGGTATAGATAGATACATATCAGTTTTACGTCTCTGAAAAGTTTATTTGTCTCCGATTCGACCGAAGTAAAAACGATTAAAATTTGCGGTAAGGTGATATATAAAAGACATAAAAGTTATATATTTCTTAACGTGTTCTACGCGTACCGTTTACACAATTTTTGTGTCTGACTTGCGTATACGTTATTATAACGTTGGCAGCGGTGTTACGTCGAGCTTGACCTTTTATATAGCTAACGTTTTCCCGAAAATTAATTTCCGGCAGTTTTTGCAGAACAAATTTTTTCTTCGGAAAACCGTGTCTAGTTGATGCGCTGGAGTGGTTATATTTTGATTTTCCTTATGCTTAGTTTAGCAATGAGGAGAGAAAACACCGAAAAAAAAAATAAAAAAATAACGTCAACAAAACGAAAATGTTTACAGAACGGCAGTTTTTAAAGAAATAAATTTTGTTCGGTGTAATTATATACAGTTATACTCGAGAATAAGCAACATACTAATTAAATGTATTCAAAACACATTTTGTATTTCCTGATAAAAACAATTGTTGTTTGTATTTTGTATGTGATACATATTTTTTAGAATATTAGAGTATTTTGTGTTTAAAAAAAATAATCCGTATAAAATAAATAATATCTGAAAATTAAACGTTTACCTTTGAATTTTGACCGGCAACGAAACTATAACGATCACAACGATATTTGTTTTCCAATAATAATAATATAACATATTATATAACAAATTACAAAATACGTATAATATCGTATTGGTACAATTGTCTATAGGTTATTATCTACCTTTTGCCAAATCGATTCACAATGGGTCACCATGTAGATGGTTGCCAGAAAATACAATTGATATTAAAGGAAAAGAAATACAAAACCAATGTATACCGTACCATTGGTTAGCTGTTAAAAATCTTTGGAGTCCCCTTATAATATCGTCAACAATTTTGACAACCCTTTTGTAATGATATCATTTAAAACTAGTTTGGATATATTATGATGATTACCTCTATTATCATTTATTTTTGTTGTTATAAACGTAAAATAATTTTACAAAAATAATAGGTATACAACGTACAAATTAACAGTAGGCTTTACGGTTATGAACATTAACATGATTAATGATGTCAAAACATTAAAACAACTAAACTGAAATCTCAATTGTCTTGTGTGTTGGAAACCCTAAATAATTTGTTGGTGACTATTAAGGGGGTCGCGACCTCCCCCTGTTGAGTAACATTATTACTTACGAAATATGTGCTATGATCCTATGGAGTTTATTGACGGATTTGAAGACATACATTTACGACAATCGTAGAAGACGATGGAGATCAAACTATCAAAATTAAAACTATAAGCACAATATCAAAATTAATTAGAGTTCATACTTTTTTTTTAGTATTCAATCCGTAGATTGGTTTACAATAAATGTTCTCTCCGTGATTCTCTATTTTGTGCTTCATCCTTGAGTTGTTTGTATGAATCGACTCTTGCATCTTTGATTACTTGACTGTTCTTAATCCATAATTGCCAGCTTCTTTTCCTTCTGATCCTTCACTAATAACTGCATTAAAGTCACCCATTATGATGAAATTATTCTTTTGTTTTATTAGTTTTAAAAGTTCTTCTATATCTCCGTAAAATTTTTCAATTTTTCCGATTTCGTCATTTGATGTGGGCTTATATGCTTGTTATATTATCGTGTCATTTGGGTATGATCTTAATTTCAACATTAAAATCTGTCAGAAATTGTGGCTTAAACGATAACTGATTGTGTCCATTTACTGTTTAATACCACTGCCACTTCGGCTTTTCCTGTTTGTTTTCCTGAGTGTATTATTCTGTACTGATGTGATGTAAAATAACCATTTCTACTCCATCTTGTTTCATTTATACCTAATATTTCTATATTTTGTCAGTCCATTTCAATTTTTACATTTTCTTATTTTCGTGTTTGTAACATTGTTCTGGCATTTCATGTTCCTATTTTTTATTTATTATTATTAATACGAGCGAAGCCTAGAGTACATAATAAAAGAGAGAAAAAAAGATACAAATGATGAAATATTTAAAAAAAAAAATTTAATTGGATAGCAGTGATTGAATTAGGTAGAGTAATGGTTGGAGAGAGTATTGGCTAGATGCATTAAATGGTCAATAGGATGATTATGGCAATAATTCGTAGTACGTTTGGGTACTATATAGGGGGTAAGGGAACGAGTGGAGCGCTGACGAACTCAGAAATTAATACAGGTGAGGAGGAAAGGAGCATCAAATTAGCCATTTATAAGCTTAGCCAAGAAACGTAGATTTGCATCAGTAAGTCTATCAGCTAGGTTAGACAAGCCTAACTCCAAGAAAACAGGGGAGTAGTCGTGAATGGAGTGGGGAATATTTAAAGCAAAACCAGCGAAGGACAGAAACCGTCTTTGAACTCTCTCTAAAGTAAATGAGTCGGTAGCAGTACATGGATCCCAAATAACGAAACCATACTCGAGTATGGGACGAACAATAGTGCAGTACAGGGTCTTGAGAGAAGAAGTGAGTCTAAACTCGGGTACCCACTTGTGAAATCCTAAAATTTTTTTAAAGCTTTGCAACTAATTGACAGAATATGTGCATGATAATTGAGATTCAATGTTAGGATTCTATCTAGATCTTTTTTGCTAAGAACACATGATAAAATAGACCCATTTAATGTATAGTTGTAAGGGAATGAAGAGCTAGTTCTAAAAAATGGCATAGACTGACATTTAGCAACATTTTTGCTTATTTTTTAAAAGGGTTTTGCTTGTTGATGACTTAAAGCACCTTATATGATTCCCTGGCGGGAACTGCCTCTCCGATAAAACCGTTTATATGTGTTATAATCGTTAGATTTGTTGCGACTATGGTTTATTGTGAACATTTAGTATTTAACACATCTATATTACTAAAAGATGCTGTTCAAGTTTAAATAAATTTATGCTTGATACTAGAAGAGCTGCTGCCTTCTTCTAGGTTCATTTTGGTCGCCTCTTACGACGGGCTTAGACTACCGAGAATGTATTCTAATCCCCACCTCTAGAAGGAAGAATTTATACTAAGTACACGATAAAAATAAAAATATTTTTAGCCTAAAAAATTAATCTTAAAATCGCTTGTTTATTTTCGTTCGTAGAAATAATGAAATTTCCAGATGAATAGGCTGCAATAATTAATGAAACAGTATTTGAACGATTTTTAAAAGAAAACAATGTTTTTGAAATACATGCCATATTTTAATTTAAAAAATATAAATTTTTCAGTTTTACTATTTAATAAGGTTTATTAAATATTATTATTTTAAATATATAATATAGATCATGAATTTATCATAATTTATAGTTTATTTTTTATTAATTACAAACACTTCTAACGAATTTAAAATTAAAAAAAATGTTGTTATTTTGCAGTATTTTTCAAATAAATATTTGGAAAATATTAAAGATTTTTCATTTAAATTAATAGCTATGTATTTTATACGTTTGAAATAAATTTAAATGTGAAAATCATAAATACGAAAAAAATCGCGGTACATTCATTCTCGTTATATATTACAGTGTTTTGTGTATTATATTGTTTGACCTTTTTTTTTTCTTTTTTTTTTTTTGCTTATCGTCCTTTTACGTGACTTGCACCTTATAGAATTGGAACTCGGAGCTCATGCTAATATGTATTCATAAAACAATAGTTTATAAAAATGATGTTTAAGTTATAGATATAATTATAGTAACTTGTCAATGTTTCATAAATTAATATCCCAACTTCCTAGGTAAGGGTACCTATATTATTAATCTAACATTTTGTACACTAAATGTAGTAAAGAAACTAAGCATATTTTTAAAAATTTTGAAATGTACATTTTGGGTAGTAGAAATACTCCAAATTTATCATACAGTACTTTAAAAGATGCGAATTTTCTGGCCGATAGTACCTTATTTGAAATATATTTTTAGACTCTTAGTAGTTATTCTATAAAAATTGGCATTAAGTGACGATTTTCCGGCATTTTTCCTGCTGTAGATTTTTGGGTCAAAAAAAAATATGACCAATAGTTATCTCTAATCTTAAAAACTAACCAAAAATCGGTTCAAATCAATATTTTGTTTACAATAATTTATTTTTGTTTTCAGTACATAAACATTAAATTACCGTGTTGGATATTTTTGTATTTTAATTTTATCCATGTGCACGCATTCATTTTAAAGCTTTCAGTGCTCAAAGTAGCAAAGTTTATAGCTCTGTTAATTATAATAATACCTATCATATAATATATACTATACAAATATTTAGATTTTGGCTCCCTATATTAATTAAATAAAATATTAATTTAAATATTAAGTAGATTAGTCTTCGAACGAAAGAGAAATCATTAACGGCTAAACTTTAATTATGTACAAAGAAAAAATAGTTAAACAGAAAACAGACTGATTTAGTAAATAATTCACTCATAAAAAATAAAATAAAAATTTAAATAACTTTTTTGTAAATTTGATTATAAAAATATGAATTGATTTTTCTTGTAAGATAAATATTAATTTCAACCATTCCTTGTGATAAACAAGTGAAATTAATATTTAATTTATACATTTCTATTTGCCTATATTTGAAAAAATAAAATCGAACATTTTCTTAAATAGGTTATTTGGAACATTTACATTTAAATATGTTTCATACATTCGTGTTACTCTGTAAGTAATTAAGAATAGTATAATATAATTCTACCAAGTCCTCGGGCTGTTATAAATCAGCATAATAATGCTAAAATATTATTACCGGAAACAGTGGGTATACCGCTATATTTAAATAATTTAATCGTATACTAGTAAAATGTATAATTGCCTATAATTTTGGTCGATAATTGTACTCTGTAGAAACAAGAATTGTAATTAGCATACTGGTACTTATACCTAAAGGTTACGTATGTTTAAAATATTATTATAGTTTTAGATTCTGAGCATATTTATTGGTTTTAAAATGATGTTTTTTTTTTTTTTTTTAAATCCGTAAAGAAATTTTCTACCAGAAATATTGCTCAAATTTTCGAGTGTAATATCTTTACTGAAAGGAAATTTTATCTGAGTGATACTTTATTTAGGATATCATTTTTTTATTTTCCAAGCGATTTTCTTAATTGGGAAAACCCGTAAAAAACATTAGAAAAACGAGAAAATGTACGTACATGTATAAAAGAAACTTCGCTCTGAAACGTTTTTGTTAGCAATTTGCATACAGATATAAATTGAATTCTCCTCTATACGAGCAATGGCTATTAAATAACGAGACTGGTTACGAAAAAGTGTTTTATTATAAAAATTATTCTACATTCAAATGCTCCCCTTCAATATAATCCCCTCCCCTCACCACACATCGTTTCATTCGTTTCTTCCATTGCTCGAGGCAGTGCTGGAAGTCTATTTTCGTAAGACCATTCAGGAGTTCCGCCGATTTTTGTTTCACCTCTTCTATCGACTCAAACCGGATTCCTTTTAAGGCAGACTTNCTTCACGCTTTATCCTGGTGCAAGATCCACGACTTGTTTTTCCACAATATCGACCGTTTCTTACGAACTCATTCGCGCAATGTTGCTAAAACTGTCAAATAGTAATGTTGGTTCACAGTTTGACCCTTTGGAACCCATTCAGTCATCACGATGCCGTTGATATCGAAGAAAACGGTTTTGAATTTGGATTACGACTGAATTGGATTCCGGTGCACTCTCGACCTTCAGAAAATAATATATGCCACTCAAAAACACGCGCCCGAGATAGGAAATCCTCACTATAAGCCTCTTTTAACAACTTATATCATTCAGTCGGAGTTTTTTTTAGTTTAACGAGAACATTTTACGTTTATCCGTTGCTCATGTTTTTCGTCAGACATGGTTTTCGGCACGAGAAAAAAACACGTTCGTTTCAAACCACTACTGCACAAATACTATAATAGTGACCAAAACGTGTTTTGGTACGTGCATAGATAAGATATCTAGATACCCAACGCATTACACGATTTTTTCACTACCCATCTAGTGCGCCCTCTAGGTGAGCAGTCTCGATATTTAATAGCCATACCTTGTATTCTACCTTCCCAAATTCTCATCTACAATAGTAACCCACCTCTTGTGCGGAGTATGTATGTCTTTTTTTATTTGCTAAGTATTAAATTCCAAGAAATACTATCCCATGTATTATGATGAATATATATGCAATATATGTTTAAATGTAAAAATGAGTATCGTTAAACGAATGATTTCTGGATCATTATCTCTATTATTTCTCATCTAATCTTTTGATTTTTTTGTTTTATTGACAGAGTATTTCACAAACTAAGTTTTAAGCTTATTTCCAGTTATATAAGTTAATAAACACTAAAGTAATTAATTTAAAAAAAAAAAACAGCAAACATAATAAAGCTCTGTTAATAATTCTGTACAGCTACACTGAAAAATATTGTCACACATTATAAGTACGTTTACACAGTGACATTTACGTTAGTTAATTTTTTACTCAACTTTTATTTTTTTATGTACCTACTAATTATTGTTTGTGCGTATTAATGGGTT